CATTCATTTGAAACTAAGCTGTCCTCCAATTTGAACTTGACACAAACGTTTTACAATTCTGACAGCCTGTTAATACAACTGGAACTATTTTGGTATTATACTAATACATAAGAGTTGTACATATTGTTACATTCCTTAAAATTTGAGAAAAGCTAATGTTAAATACATTTTGTGAAGGGGGTACTTTTGAAGTTCACTTATTTTACTATTATAGACCCTCTTTTATAGATGATCAGGGATTATATAGACATATATATAAATATATAAATACACATACAGATGTTATGGAGTTAATTTATTAGAAACACTGAAGAAGTGCATATTTTTGTGCAGTAAATTTTGAATCAATACCTTTTTTTGAAGAAGGGGTTCCCTGGCTTTTTTAAGTTCTTTCTATATTTTTCTTTGGAGATGCAGACATTACAGATCAATGCCATTTTTTTCCCAGTGCACTGCCATTCCAGATTGGTTCTAGATGGGTTTCTTAACTTGAAGTACTTTTATAATCACAGCAATTCTGAACAAAATATTTTCAGAGGCTTTTGTCATTCTTTAAAGCCAAGATTTCTGAAGGCCAGTGTCCTCTTGAGGGTTATTTTCCTGTACTGTGTATGGTGTGTAGCCACAGAAAACCAGTGTTGTCTTCAGTGTCCAGGTGGGAGGCCCCCATCTGAGTCTCCACCCTGAGTCCTTGAGGTCCCCTCCCTTGTGAATCTGTCTTTAATCAGGACTTAGGCACACTATCTCTGTTCTCACCGGTCCTTTTATTCCCGTGTTAGGTTTTGAAGTTAGACATTATTTTCTAGGTAATGCTGTTGTACGGATCATAATGGCTATGATTTTAAAGGCAAACCTGTAATGAACTGGGTAGTAAATGCTGTCCACAGCGTATTTCTGCTTCCTCGTCTTGCAGTCCCATGCAGCACTGTTTGCACAACAGTTAGGAAGGGCGAGCAGCAGCTGCCTGTCCCCTCTGGCTATCTGGGGGCTGCAGATGTGGTAGAGACCTGGAGCTTTGTTGGCCCTGTGCATGAGACACACAGCACTGTAACAGGCATTTTGCCATTCCATGCTCTGACTGGGAGAAATGATGAACACTGCTGTGCTGTCTGTTAAAGCTCAGTTGAAGTTTCTCTCATTTCCTTCAACTTTCTTCTATTTTCTTCTCCGATTTCCTAAGACACAAGGCACACGAGGAATCCCTTTGGATTCTAAAATCTGAGCACTGTCTTCACACCCTAAATTATTGCTGATACAGCAGGGGCCATGCAGATGGGGTGGGCTCTGCTTTCTCGGTGGCTGTGACTTGGGGGAGGCTACTGCAGCACCTGCCGCCATTTGAATGGCCCCTGCATGGGTCTCTTTCGTCCTCTCAAACCCCACTCATGGCTCTTGCATTTTAGCCACGTGTTGTCCTTCATTCAGGGAATCTCTTGACATCTGGGTGAGTCATTCCTCTCCTAGGTGTTTGCCTAACAGCCTTGCCATGCATGGGCACACACTGTCTAGTTTTCATTTGGTGTGTTGACACATCCCATGCTCTGGAGGCCAGCTCCCCGCCTGTCTTCCACCACAGCAGGTGCTCATCTGACCGCCAGTGTTAGCGGCTCCCTTCTTTGTCCCCAGCGCAGCACTAGACAATCAAGCTTTCCCTGAGCAAGTAGTTGTTGTGGGGTCTTGGAGGTTGGTAAGTGCGAGGCCAGAGGAGGGCTGGCTAGGGTGCCTAGAACCTCAGAGGTCGTGAACAAGTGCCAAATGCAGGCCTAGTTATCTCAGTCAAACAGGCGGAGGCTGGCATCTGCTGTGTATTTCAGCCACAGCACACAGCAGGTGCTCCGAGGAGAGTTGAGCTCTGTGCCCATGTGGGGCCAGGAGCCACGGCATTGGAGCTGAGAAATACAGGACATCATGGTGGGAGGTTCTGCCAGCCCATATGGAACATTCTAGAAGGAAGGAGTAAGGAGTAATGCATCCTGCTGCCATGATTGAAAGCGGACCTGTGGACTCATCCTAGTGCAGGCAAAGGGTATTTCAGTGAGAAGGCAAGGTTGCCTGGCGCTATGTGAGTGCCCTCATTCTTCCCAGCATGCTTTATCAGTGTCCTCAAAAAGTACGTTTGACTAAAAAGTGTGAGGAGAGTAAAGCAGATGGGTAACGGAGCTTGTAGGTGAGATGTGTATGCCCATCCGTTAGGGTGTGTTTGAACAAAGGTTCTTTGTGGTTTCTTTGAAATCGCTGGTTTCACATAGCTGTCAGGAGAGTGGTTGACGAGAGTCCTTTCTAGTCTTTCTGAAGTCCACTGCTGAGTCCCAGGTAATAGTGGCCATGTGTGGGATGCAGGGCTCTAAGAATGGCCTCTCCCACAGCCTTGATGATACCATCCCTTCTCAGTGTGGAAGAGCTGTGACCACGAACCAGGGTCGTGTTTTGTGACTTAGCAAAGAGACATCATGTGCGTGCAGGTGACGCGTGCAGCCCTGTGAGCCAGGCGCAGGGAGACACGGAGGTCAAAAGCTCGGGACACCATCGCTGGCTCAGGTGGGAGAGGCCCGCCTTGACGGCCGGCTGAGGAAGGAGGAGCTGCAGTCCTTTTGCTGCTGGGCAGCTTCGCCCCTAGACTTGGAGATGGGCGTCTTCAGACGGCAGGACAACCTGCAAGCACCTGTACCGCAGCTTTCTAAGTGGGGCCATGCCCAGAGAGCTTGGGTGAGCCTGCTGGATTTGCAGTGTGTGTAAGACACACAGTCCGCCTGCAGTAGAGAGCTTGGGTGAGCCTGCTGGATTTGCAGTGTGTGTAAGACACACAGTCCGCCTGCAGTAGAGAGCTTGGGTGAGCCTGCTGGATTTGCAGTGTGTGTAAGACACACAGTCCGCCTGCAGTAGGTTACTTTTTTAAAGACAAGGTCTCACTTTGTACCCCAAGCTAGCCTTGAACTTCTGTCCTCCCAGTTCTGCCTCTCAAGTGCTGATTGACACTCATTCCTAGCGAGTCCCGTGTCTGTGCCAGAGACCCTCATCTCCACTACAAGTGAGATTTGTATTTGTGCTTTGTAAAACAGCTGCCAGGGTGAGACTGTAGGGGTGAGGGTGTGGGGCATCTTTTCTCCTACAGAAGTGAAATTACAATGACTTACCGAAGAGCAGGAAAACTCCTGCCTTAAGTGGATCACGCACGGCGATGTTGCCTGCAGACGGCAGGCTCGGGAACCACACAGTCCTGTTCCTAAAACATTCTTGGATTGTGCCATTCATTGCTATCCTGGGCTACAGGCTGAACATACTTGCTATAGAGCTTAGGCTGTAAGAGTAATCTTTTTAAAGACCACTTAGTCAATAGCTAGCTTGCACAACACGAACCAAGGTTTTACGTTTAGATGCTTTTCACAATACCTCCGATTCCAAGCTGTTAATTTCTAACGAAGTTTATTTTTGTTTTGGCTCATTCATTTGTGCTTGCCTGCTTACTTCTTTACCTTCCATAGCCTTGAAGAAAAACAGAACTGAAGGGAAAGAATTTAGAGGTTAAACCCTGTCAGGTGACATGGCCTGTGCTGTCATCATCTTCATTCGGTAAGGGATCCCAAGTCCCAGCTCAACCCTTTTCTACAAAAGGGCATTCCCAAGCTATGTGGCAACATTTATAGCTTGTAAAATCTAAACTTTGATAGTTATAAGGATTTAAATGATTAACAGATATGCTATGCTCCATTTAATAATGCATGTGAACATACAATGCTAAAAAGATGACCAGTCTTTTAAGTAAAAACAAAAAAGCAAACCAAGGATTTTGATACCTAATGCCCCTGTACCATCACTAGCTAAATGAAGCCTTGTTTCGATTCTGAAATGCTCCCTTCCCCAAGCTTTGAACTACCTAAAAAGGCTCCTGTGTGAACAAGCAAGAGCACACTCCAGGCAGCATGTGACCCTGTGTGTGTGTGTGTGTGTACAGTGTCAGGAACCTGAGTTGGAGGGAGGGCGGGGGAGGGAAAGCCTGTGTGCAGGGAGCTGCTCCCAGGGGGAGAGAGTGTGCTCTCAACAGGCTGGTTCAGCTGCTTCAGCATGGGGACTATAAGCACTGGTGGATGCTAAGGAGGCTGCTTCCTGCAGCTGCTCCTAGTACAGCTGAACTGCTCCAGCTTGGTGTAAAGCTCCCTGGAAACAGTGCCCGAGCCATAAAGGGCTGCTGGGACAGTACTGACCGAGTGCTGCCAGCAGATTCTGCTCAGTGTAGAGTCCACTCAGCCTTACAGTTGTTCCCCGACGGAGTGAAAAACTTCCTGCAAAAAGGGCTGTCTTTGCCCTGGGGGCGGTTCCCAGCGCAGCCCAGAATCTGCCCGGTTGTAGGAGGTTTTCCTTTCCTCCTCCTCAAATGTATTACTGTACATACTTTGCTCACACTTTTCATGGGTTGAACAGTTCATAGCTGCAGTAATATCTAAGGTACCTGTTGGATTTTTAAAGGCAGATTATTTATTTTCAAGTTTGCTGCTACAATTGAAACCTGATAATGTCCTGTTGACTGTGCCTTTCATAACTGTCTCTGCTATAACTGTCCATGTGTATTTGAAATAAACAAATTTAAACCAAGATTCCTTCTAATAAAAATGTCTCAATGGTCAGAATGAATGACAGAATTTTTTTAAAGTGCTACACTATGGTGTTTACTTACTGTTTAATTAGTTGCTGGTTCCTCTTGAATCTTTAAAAGGGAAACATGACATCCTGGTAAGACAGTGGCTGTGAGCTATACAGGATTCACTGCCATATATACACACAGGCAGTTCTGAAATGAGAGTAGCCCTTCTTGGGGACTGTGCTTGTATTTCAATGCTGTTCACACGGTAGGCTGGGTAGGTCTGCACATCTTGCCAACAAGACAGTGTGAGACATCTACCCCTTACTGTGCCCTTGATTTTTCTATCTTGAGACATCTACCCCTTACTGTGCCTTTGATTTTTCTATCTATCTTAGGGTTAAATAATTAAACAATTCCATGCTTTCGTTTAAAAATATCTATTAGAAATGTACATTTGGTTGGTTTTAAGGAATGGTCTAGATAAGTGTTAGTATCACCTCAAATTTGTAAACTTTACATCTTTAAGATATGTACAAAGATAATTTACAGACTTTACAAGAGCATGTCCCTTCCCCAGTACCAGACAGTTCAGCCACAATGCTGCCGTCACTTGTCACTTCACTCTGTACTTGTAGAAGGAGCACAGCATGTGGGTGAAGTTCCAGCCCAGTGCCAGCGACAGGCCATACAGCACAGCGAGAGGTGCAAACGGGTAGAGTAGGGTCACTGTGTTTTTCAAAAACGGCAGTGCTGGAAAAGAAGCAAGGGCATGACTGACAGATGAACGTGGCCCACACGTGGCAGAGCAGCAGCACACTGCCAGGACCATGATGCTGCTCGCACCACTACAGACATCTCACGTAGGGCCGAGGAGAAACTGAGGAGAGGGACAGACGCAACTACCAGTGCTCTTAATCTTCTAAAGCCGCAGCCCATGTTGTGGAGTTCTCCAACCTTAAAATTACTGCACTGCTGCTTCATAACTATTGCTTCTGTTACGAGTATAAATACCTCATGAGACCCATGAGAACTGCTGACCTAGACAGCCGCCTCTGTGAGTGAGCATGCAAGGCAAAGGAACTCATTCCTGCACTTTCACACACACAGCACATTGCATTGGAGTAATGTAAAAACAACATACCTCAAATTGAGGTGTAATCAATAACAAACTTTGAGGAAGAACTAAGGGGCTACACTGTAAACACTAAGTTTACAGGTTGTATGTCTATATATCTGTATTCTGCCTGCAGGCCAGAAGAGGGCACCACCTCTCACTATATGGATGGTTGTGAGCCACAACGTGGTTGCTGGGAACTGAGCTCAGACTGAGTACAGTCTGTGACAGACAGACAGGGACTAAGAACCAGTGCTTCAGTGCTGTGGGTCACAACCTTTTCAAGACAGTGTGAAAATCACTGGAAACCCTAACCAAGCCATCCCTGGGAAACTGGTTATGGGCCGAGGGACAGGTGGAGGTCCCAGTCACCCAATGAAGAGCTGGAACCAGCCACACTGTGAATGCTTCTGTGAGATCAAGTTTTAGATCTGGACTTTAGCATTGGGGACTTGGGGAGTGGAACATAGGATCTTGCACATCCTAGGCAGGTTCTCTACTGAGCTACACTCACTCCCAGCCTAAGAGTAGTCTGCATTCACATTAGAGAAACTAACTGAGAAGATTTAGCAGTAAGTTTGCAAATGTGGTCTGGGATCAGCAGACCCCAGGATCGTCCACAGAGCGGTTTGTAACCATGAGCCCATGCCATTTCCTCGCTAGCCCATGGTTAATAAAAACAGTCAGGGACTTCCTCCTATAACTTGGAAATGAGTTAGCATGGCTCTTTTAAAGTTATAACAAACGTCACATGCTACTCTACTTGTGGACAGTGGGTAAGCTAAAAGGTGAGTACAGTTGTGAAATTATGAAGGTCACATGGAGTGAACCATACATAGTGTCTGTCACTGCCCTGTAAATCCACTGCTAATGCCTACAACCTTCCCTGTTACATTCGTAAACCACCGAACTTACTTACCACTGTATCCCAGGAAGGTTACATAGATGTAATAGCCAACAGCAATCAACCACAAGGTATTTCCAACTAAATATCCAATAAATGTGTCTGTGAGGATGACATCTGCCAGAAAACAAATGCATGTAAGTGAGTCTCTTCACACAAGAACTTTGAGAGCATCTGAAAAACAAGTACTTACGGTTGATGAAGAAGAGCTGGATAAAATGCAGAATGACTAGAAGCGGGTAAAATGCATTCAGATGCACGTCAAAAGCGTATCCCCATTCCACATCGTAGTCTCTGCTCTGCCGTTTCACTAGGTACTTGTTGGAGATGAACCTGAGGAGCAAAATGAGAACTTCTTCCACCGTGCACTGGCTCTCAGAACCGCCTGGGTGCCACGGTAGTGACCAAAGTTCTCGAGACGGACCGATGACAGTCCAGGGTCTGCCTTCCCTGGCGTGGGAGACGCCTGGCACAGCACTATGGAGAACAGGGGCAGAGCTGAAGTGCTGTTTTAAATCTCAGCCTGGCTGATGATGTGTGCAGTCTGCATGTGCCTCTAAGAAGGAAGGGGTAGAGCACGGATAGATGCTGATCAGGACAGAAGGGATAGATGCCTTTTCCTCGCTAGCCCGTGGTTAATAAAAACAGTCAGGGACTTCCTCCTATAACTTGGAAATGAGTTAGCATGGCTAACTCAGGGATAGATGCTGATCAAAGGAAACACAGGGCCTGCGGCTACTTTACTCATGGCAGAAGCGGCCAGGGTCAAGATGCAAAGTATGTCCGAAAAATTTTGATAGGGTCTCCTTGGTGGCCAATCTGACTGCAGACTCCACAGACAAGAGGACTGTAGCCTGTCACTAGAGTCCCCTAACTAACAGTGGAGGGGCTGAGGTGTACAACACTAGTTGAAGGTGAAGCCAGAAAGTCACAACAGTCTTGTCCTGAGCAAGATAGCATTGCCATCGGCCAAGGACAGGTTGGTGGTACCCAAAGTGGTTCTGAGAATGAAGGAGAGGGCAAGTCTTGGGATTGGGATTAGCTATGACAAATGTGCTAATTACTAACAAGGATTAAGTTGTATAAAAAGCCTGTAGTTGAAAGGAAAGGTCTAAGGAGGTGTGTGGATGGTATTGAAAGCCATGGGCGTAAATGACATCACAAAATCATGACAGCATCTAAACAACCAACTAAGCAAAAAACCCAGTAAGTACTCAGGGCCAAGACTGTCACATCTGCCTTTATCATTCAAGTGGGGGAAACAGGAGGAAATGGGGGAAGGGGCTGGCTAGTGCCGCACCCAGACAGAACAGCATATGCATGCGTCCCTCAGTGTTCTACAACTTGGCTTAGCAGAAAACTATCATGTCCAGATCCTCAATGAAAAGGGCCATTTGTTCTATAAACACCTGGAAATGTCCTTTCTCATGTTAATGGATTTTAAATACCATTTATTATGTTTATTTATGGGGTGCCACAGCATAAAGTCTGAGAACAACTTTGTGGAGTAAGTTTTAACATGTGGACCCTGAGGGTTAAACTGGACGAGTGCTTTTCACGGCTGAGCACAGGTCGCTGTGTTTTGGTTCACTTGAATGTCTTATGTACTGCATACAGACACAGAGTCTGGTTGTGGTGGTGCACGCCTGGAACTCCAGCATGCAGGTGGTGACAGATGGCAGAACAATTTTTAGTTTAAAGCCAGCCTGGGCTACGTGGTAAGTTCTAGGCTAGTCTGGACTACAGTGTGAGGCCCTAACTTAAGTAGCACAACAAGACAACACACTAAATCAAGAATGCATGGCAGAAATATGATAGTGTGAACTTATCAGTCAGAACAACGGTGCTTCACGTGGACAAGCTAACTCACCAAACACTGTTTTAGCGAAGGGTATGTGCCGTTCAATTTTACAACATCAATGAAACAAGCCAGGGAAGGGAAGATAAAATGACAACAAAGTCCTGACCTCAGAGTAATAGGAAATGGAATCATGGCCACCAGATGCTAAGAAAGAAGGGCTGGGCTGTTGTATCAAAGCAGAAGCAGGAGTCTGAATGCTCAAAGCACAGTGGCACTAGACATTTTATAAGAGCTATAGCTTCAAGGTTCCCAACACCAATAAGCTGTAAATGTTTGGGATGAAAACTCTCATTAACCTGATTTGATCATTACTCATTACATACGTAAATCAAATTATCACATGGAACTTCACAAATAATAACATTTAAAACTAATCATGAATGATAAAGGAATTGTGGGTAGTATATAGCTCACTCCCAGAAATTCTCCATAATCACCAGCCTCCTGCTGCGCCTCTGCGCATCTCTTAAAGGCACAACACAGAACTTCCTAGACAAGTTCCCTCCTAGAGAACTTCCAGACAACTAACTGGCTACTCTCTCCCACCTCCAAGATGGCCAGACTGCTGCTGTAGGTTTGCAGTCTTCTGCTGCCATCTCCATTAACATCCCACCAGCTCCCCGACTCAGCATGGCCAACACAGGTCGCTTCACTAACGTTAGCACAGTCTCCTAAGCCTAACTCCCTAGCCAGGTCACGCCACCCGGGAAGCTGTGAACTCTCTCCTCATGCTCCTCTCTCCTGAGTCCCTGTGACTGAACCCGGCCTCCCTCCTCCATTCTTGGCCTCCCAGCTGTTTCTCTTCTCTCTTCCAACCCACACTTGCAGACACGAACCCCATTTTCTTTCTAAATTCCATCAAGGCTGCTTTCTAAGTCTCATTAGTTCATAGCCACGATGTCCCCTGTCCCCAGACCCGCCGTGCCTGCACAGAACTGTGGCTCTGCACCCGCACACCCTGGAACCAGGAGCCCAGCGTCTCACCGCCCCTAAAACAGCCTTGTGTTGGTTGCTAGGGCACTTTCGCGATGGGTGTTGGAGGGGGGGGTCATTGTTTCTACTTGCAGCCCCTCACAAGTTCATGACACTCGTGCTGTCACAAGCAGCAGAGTGAGTCCTGTCTACTTGATCAAACATGGGACACACAAGCCAAAGGTAGCCATCTCCAGGGTGCCTTGGTTTTTGTGGCCATCCAAATCACTACACCCACAGGGTTGCACTTGCAACAAACTGATCTGGAAGCTTTACATATTTCCCCCCCTAAGTTGCTCGACAACAAGTATCTGATTTATATGAGTAATATTAATCTTGGGTCAGGTTTTAGAAATTTAGATTAATGATACATAATAGCATTCTACCCAGTACCCATAAAGCCAACAGTTACAAAGGAAAATAAAAGGTTGACCTCAGAGGTTACAGCCTTGGCATTTTGTTTAAAACAGTCACGGCTACCATATACCTGCAGTCATCTAGGTACCAAGGGCCTACCACCCCACTGGCCCTTAAAGCATCTAGTGAAACAATTAACTCCAACTTACAAAGGGTACTGAGGAATGGCTGACAGCACTGTGGACCTCCATCTGAGAGTAAAACTGGTCCATCAAGTTTCTCTGCTTCCTCCTCAGTTTTCACCCTCCCCATAGCCCACCCATCGCATCCACTAGCCTGTGCCCAGGAAGCCGCCACACAGGAGCACTGTCTGTGAGGGGTGGGAAGCTGAACACCAAACTACTGACGCTCAATCAGGCCCAGACAGACAGAAGCAGGCTGAGGGCCTTTCAAGACCCCTGGATGTGCATGTTAGCAGCAGGAAGGAGCCACATTAAAACCAAAACCCCTTTCACACACAAATGACTTAATGTCAAAGAGTCAAAGGAAAAGTCCCAAGGATAACTAACCCCCTAGCTGTGAATGCCTGCAACCCTGCACTCCTGCAGCTGGAGGAGGTCTCCACTGACAAGGACAGATTACAGCAGACAACTGCAGAGACCATAACTGTCTAAAAAGTCGGGACTTAACAGGAGGCAGGCATTCTTGGATTTGCTAGAGTGACAATAAGCACCCATTAAAGTATTTTCTGATCTAGGACAGACATAGGAGGCTAAGTTACAATAATCTTGGTAGTCAATCTGACCACTTCAGTTACGCTATTGGTAAACAGGCCAACAGTATATAAAAAACCACATTATGGTACTTACCACATTAATGTTGATATCAGAAGGCCAACACCTACACAATCTATGAATACAACCCACAGGAGCAGCTTTATTGTCTCAAAAAATCCCATGTCCAGCACAAAGCCAAATCCTATGGTGGATACTGAAATAAAGAGTTACAAGATTCAGCACTAGGCTCTTGGGTACAAGATATAATAACCCCTGGCGTCTATGTGCCCAAAGTGTCATGGTGGTATATGGACAATGTAATAAAACCCTCAAGACGTGTTCTATGCAGCTGATACAGAAATGAATGCTGCCTTTGAGTGCAGGTAAAGGGACTGGATTCCTGGGCTCATTCACCATGGCACACCGGTATTCAGAAAACACCTGTGCAGAAGTCACTGGACTCATTTTTAAATCCAGTTAAATGTGAAAAGCCTTAAAGTTGACTGGGATGCTTCCTTGATATAAGGAGAACTTGAAGGTAGTTTTTCAATTCAATTCAGTACTTCCAGTACCTTACTCTGAAAGCAGGGGTGTAGCTCTGTGTAGAGCACTTGCCTGGCATGATGAAGCCCCTGGTTTCTATCCCTAGCCTTACCAACATCCTGCCTCTCCCCTGCCAACCAAACAAAACCACCACTACAACACCCCAGCCTCGCAGATCTGCCCCATCTATGAAGTGTGGTTTCCCATCCGAACATCCCTTTGCACACATTTTGGTATAGGTTCACATTAGCTCTTTTTCTTTAAGCCAGTGAGTGTGGTGCGTATGTCTGCAATGCTAGCACTCAAGAGGCTGAGTTAAGAGGATCTTGAGTTCAAGGCCAGGCTGGCCTACACATCTAGAACCTGTCTCAAAAAGAAGGAAACAACAACTATGGAGTAAATCCTGCCCCCTACTTTTCAGTGTCCCAATACAGTAGTTAACTCTGGCGTGTGCGTCACAGCCTGCAGCAGGAAAAACACCACTTTCTTTCCTGCCAGATTTTTAAGGTTTGGGGGGAGGGCAGCTTCAAATACCCCCAGATTCTAACCCATAATACATTATCACAAGAGATAACCCAAATAAGTCTCCTCTCAATACCCATTTGTTCACCAACTATATATACTGCGTGTAAGCTAACACACTTACCACAGAGCCAGACACTTAAGAGGACCAGGAAAGCAGGGTCATCCCTAGCCCACTGGTCCTTTGTTTGCTTCCGGTAATGAAAGTTTCTATAAACCCTCTGTGGGGAAGTGAACAGGTACAGCATCTGCCACGCGGCAAACTCGAAGTCCATCTGCCGAAACCGAAAAAGCCTTCTGAGGTACTTGTAGCGCTTTGCTCCAGCCGTGTGTCTCGCTGCATCCCTGGAGTTCAATACTCCGTTCCCCTGCATCGAAGAACTCACTGAAGTACTTGGTAGCATCTTCCTGGATGGAATAAAAACGCTTCTCTTAGATGTAATCCGTAAGAACTGTCTGGCTACTAGCGCTCCTCCTGAGGGCTGTGACATTTTCTCCTGCCACCTCCGGGAAGGGTTAGGGGCCAGAAGCAATAGAATTGGTTCTGGGGCTTCTCTGGGGCCTGGCAGGTGTTAACAGCACTTCCATCGCACGCGCGCAGTACCACGCTCCTCTCCATCACCTGAAACCCCTTGTCTCGAGTCCACCGGTTTCTAGCCTTCACTTTAATCAAGCCTTTGGCAGCTGTATTAGCTAACACATCCATAGTGAAGGGCCAGGAAAAAGCAGCACAGGCATATGAAATGCCCTCCTCGTGGCCAGGGAACAAAGACTGGAAATCTGACTCAAAATCCCACGTTTTTTTTTTTTTTTATGGCCAACATTCAAAGCAAAACAACAACAACAAAATACTTCGTTTAAGCGGAAAGCGACGATAGTGAAAAGGTAAATCGGCGACAGCCAGCAAACTCCTGGTTATTCAAAATACAACATTAAAAAAAAAAAAAAAAGACGCAAATTCCAACCCTTGGTGGGTTTGCTCCCAGAATAGCTGGGTAGGGTGAGTAACAGCGCGGAGGGTCCACGCCAACTAGTCCGAAGCTGAATGAAGGCTGCTCGGCGCCCCACCCTCCGCCCAGCCCGGCTTTCCACAGGTGCCGGCAGCCCCGGGCGCCGCGCCCCGGCTGTCCATTACCCGAGCCTGCGGGCCGCGGTCAACTCAGCAGACAGGCGGCCCAGTGGCGTTCGGGTGGGGAGCGGACGGGCGGAGCGTGTGTGTCTGCCGTGCAATCCCCCAGACCCGCTCGGGTGACAACCGACTCTCTTTCCGCGATTCCAGCGCAAGCCGGCGCCTCCGGCGTTGCCCACGGCGGGCCTCGGGCTCGAGCCCGGCCGCTGCCCGTGGACACGGCCGCCAGCCCGCGCGGCACCCTGCTCACAGCGCGCAGAACTCACCTGAAGGCCCGGGGAGCCCCGGCCTGGGCCCAGGACTGCTGCCACCTCCGCCCGGCCGCCCAGCGCCGCCGCCGCCGCCGCGCCGCGCCGACTTCCCTTACCGCTACGTAGCCGGCACTCGCGGCGCCTCGCGTTGACGTCACGGCCCGACTTCCGGCACGCACGCGCACACGCCGCCGCCCCGGCCGTCTCTTCCGCTGACCCCGTCGGTGGGCGTGGCCCGCCCGCGTCCGCGCGGCCTCCGGTGCGGCGGGCGCGGCGGGCGCAGCCATGCCCCGGTATTACGAGGACAAGCTGGAGGGCGGCGCGTGCGCGGGCGTCAAGGAGGACCTGGGCGCCTGCCTGCTGCGGTCGGCCTGTGTGCTCCAGGTAGCGCGCCCCGGGAAGGAGCTGCGGGGACCCTGCCGGCCTGCCGGCCTGCCGGGCGCTCTCGTCCGGGGTGGAGGCCGCAGCCATTGCTCCCGATCGCGGGCAGATCTCTGCAGCGCTCAGCCCCAGGTCTCTCTGGTGGTTAATGGGAGATAACTAACGCACCGCCCAGTCTCGGGGGCTTGTAAATACTAAGCCATCTCGGTTCTGGAAGTCATGGCCGAGTGCTGGCCTGCTGCTCAGTTTTGGGCACTCGCCACCAGACTCCCACTGCCATGTGGCGGTGCATAATCGCCTTCATAACTCCATTTCCTGGGCATCTGGTACCCTCGTCTTACCTCCATGTCTGCATGTAGGCAAACACACACACACGGAATATAATTTAAAAACCGAGATGCAGAGCAACTATTTAATCTTTACATTTTTTTCCTCGTTTTTTTTTTTTTTTTTGAGACAGTGTTTCCCTTTGTAATTTTGGAGCCTGTCCTGGAAGTAGCTCTGTAGACCAGGCTGGTCTCGAACCCACAAAGATCCGCCTGCTTCTGCCTCCCAAGTGCTGGGATGAAAAGCGTGCGCCACCAACGCCTAGCTACATTTGTTTTTCTTTAGTTGCCGAAATTATTAAAAAGGAATTAAGAAACTTTCTTAACTTTTTTTTTTTTCTTTAAAGAAGTCCTTTTAGAAGAATAGTTGTCTTGTGCTTTGTGGGCAGTTTCCAAGGCATTCATTCATGTTGGTTTGTGTGTCACAGGAAGGAAAGTCCCCACGGCAGTGTTTGAAGGAAGGACACTGCAGAGCTCTACAGTATTCGTTTTTTGAGTGTAAAAGATCAATGGTAAGTCATTAGCCATGTTGAGAAGCTTTTGCTAACTACGTATAGAATTAAATAACTTGGTTGCGGTGACATGATTGGGAGGTGGCGTTTGGACTCCAGGGGTAAGTGTGAGCCAGCATTCACAGAAGCTTCTAACTCGCTCGTCCTCCAGGATACCGCCACGGCTTTCTGAAAATGTGGGGCTGGTCCCAGCAAATGTCAGTGGTGTCAATGGGGGGGGGGTCTGACAGTGAGGAGCATGGACTCCGCCCCTGCGGCAGTTACACACAAGCCTTGGGGCTGAGGACTGTTTGTACTTCTGCCTGCCGTGAGCAGGAGGAAGCCACAGTGTTTGGAGTGGCAGGAGGGCCCCAGCTGACATCACTGGTCCCCGGGACTCTGCTAACATCCCTGTACTTGAACAATCTACAGAGATCTTTAGGATGGAAACAGGGTTTCTGTGGAAAAAGTATGGAGTCAGAAATGTGAGCTTCCCTTGTAGGGAGGCACATGCATGGGCTTGAGCCTGACTTCGCTGGCTTTGAGACCACACTGAGAGTTCTTCCCCTCTGTTGATAAGGAAGTGGAGGGCAAATATCAGCACACAGAGACCTCAGCCCGTGGAGGGCAGGAGGGAAGTTTCCCTCAGGTGACAGGGCTCCATCATTCTCCTGCATTTATTACAGGCCTCCCCGTCTGGTTCTCCTGCCAGCTGTGTGAGATGCAGGCCTTTAGGCTTGTGAGGAATTTGAAAGTCTGTTTCAGTCATTGGGAAGGCAAAATGACTAGTAAAGGAGACAATAGGCCCTGCTGTGTCATTACATCAGACGGCAGCAGACTCCTGAGAGTCCACCTAAAGTCCGCCTTCCTTACCCTCCCCTCCCCTTTCCCCCTCTCTCCTCTGCTCTTCCCCCTCCCTCCCCTCTCCTCCCCTCTCTTCCCTTCCTTTCCCTTTCCTTTCTTTCCTCCTCTTTTTTTGAGACAAGGTCTCACTAGGTAACTCTGCCTAGCCTGAAACTCACAGAAATCCACCTGCCTCTGCCTGTCAAATCCTGAGATTAAAAGTGTGTGCTGCCACACCTGGCAATGGTAGCCTGGACTGGCTTGCGATCCTCCTGCCTCTACCTCTTAAGCAAATCCTATGGGCATGGATTAATCCTTCTTAAAAAATATTTTTTTTCACCATTTATCTGCCTTCTGCGTAATTTTTTTAAATAAAAAAGACTCTCATATAATATATCCTGATTACAGCCCCCCTCCCCTCCCAATCCACTCCCTTTCTGTCTCTCATTAGAAAAAAACAAGCTTCTAAGAGGTAACAACCAAACATGACAAAATATAAGATGAAACAAAAACTTACACATGGAAGATGCTCATGGGAACTCACCAGAAAAGGGTCTCAAGAGCAAGCAAGAGAGTAAGCGGAACAAAATCACTAAGTCAATAGCTATAACATATTCACCGAGGACCTGGTACAGCCTGTGTAGGTAGGCTCTGTGCTTCATGCCTCAGCCTCAGCGAGCTCATACATACCTTGTTTAGTTGACTCTGAGGGTCCTGGTCTGCTGTCCTCCATGCCCTCTGACTTTTCTCATCTCTCCTCTTCTGCTGGATTCCCTGGGCTCCGAGGGGAGGGATTTGATGGAGACCTGCAATTTAGACTGTCTCTGTACTTGTTCCCCTCTGCTGCCGGGGGAAGCCCCTCTGATGACTGATGAGGGGCTTACTTACCTATGAATAAAGCAGAGTATCGTTAGGAGGCATTTCTTCTTGTTTGCTTTTACCACAGTCTTTGGGCTATCTGGTCTCTGGTACTTGGTTTCCCAAGCAGTGTCCTGTATGGGTTCCTTTTTGTGCAGTGGGTCTTAAGTCAAATGAGACATCTGTCTATTGGCTACTCCCACAAGCTCTGTGCCACCATTGCCCTAGCCTGTTTTGTAGGCAGGACAGACTGTAGGTTGAAGGTTTTGTGGCTGGGTTGGTGGCCACATTTCTCTATTGGTGTCTGCAGGGTATCCTCCTGCACCAAGACAGTAAAATGTAGGGGTGGAGACTTCATGTAGGCACAGTTAGGCGTCTCCATGTTCAGTGGGTTGTGTGAATGTTGTCCTTGGCATTGGGGCCCCCCGTCAGTTTGTGGAGAGCAGCCCTACATCTTGCCATCGGTGTGGGTGGTTTGGGGATTTCTATGGGACTTCCTTGACCAACAACTCAACTGCATACAACCTAGACTGGAAGCGTTGCCTGAGTACAAGGAATGGCACGCTGAGCCCTCATTAGGATCTCCTTTATAGATTCCAGCGCTCTCCCCACACTCCCTCCCCTCCACACCTAATCCTACCCTACCCCACTGTGTCCCAGTCCACCTATAAAATCTGTTCTACCCCTCTTCTTTACGTACCTCTCTGGGTCTGTAGGTTGTAGCATGGTTATCATTTACGTATGACTAATGTCCACAAGAAAGTGCATACATATTTGTCTTTGTGGGTCTAGGTTACCTAACTCTATTTTTTCCTAGTGTCATCATTTGCCTGCGAATTTTATGATTTTTTTTTTTTTTTTTTTAACAGATACTCCTTTATCCATTCTCCTATCTAGGCATCTAGGTTAGGACATTCTTTTGTTATCTTCTGTTTGGACATCTTTCTTTGGACATGGTTGTTTCCAGTTTCTGGCTATTAGGAACAAAGCCACAGTGAACATGGTTGAGCAAGTGTCCCCCATGGTAGGATGGAGCATCCTTTGGGTGTGTGACCAAGGGTGGTACAATCCCCTTCTTTCCGAGGACTCACCATACTGTTTTCCACAGTAGCTGTAGAGTTTGCACTCCCACAGCAGGGGAGGGGTGTTCCCTTGCTCCACATCCTCTCCAGCATGAGCTTCTTAATGTATTCTTGGATTCTGTTTGCAAGTATTTTATTATTTCTGCATCTTTGTTTGTAAGGGAAATTGGTCTGTAATTCTTTGTTGTGTCTTTATATGGTCTGGGTATAAGGACAACTGTGGCCTCATAAAGTGACCTGGACAATGTTCCTTCTGTCTCTATTTTGTGGGATAATTTGAAGGTGTTAATTCTTTGAAAGTCTGGTAGGATTCTGTGCTAAAACCATCCGGCGCTGGGCTTTTTTTGGTGGGGGAGTGTTGGGGGACTTGTAATAATTGCTCATATTGCCCTGGGGGTTGTATGCCAAGAAAGTTACCCATTTCTTTTAGATTTTTCAATTTTTGTTTTCAATTTTGTGGAGTACAAGTTCTTAAAGTATGTCTTTATGATTCTCTGGATCTCCTTAGTGTCAATTGTTATGTGTAAGGTCTTGAGTTCATTGCATAGTACAGAAAAATGTGTAACTTATATATTATATATTTTAAAAAAGCTCACTGCTTTGAGATTCTGCCTTACACTGACTTTAGACCCTTAAGCCTCCATTGAGAGGCTTAAGTCAAAGAACCTGGGGTCAGCCTAGGAGGAAGGAACTCGAGGATTTTTAATACCATGATCCAGTGTCATTGTTTCTAGTTGCTATTTAAAAATTTCAAGTATATTTGAGTTTACAGAAGTAGGGTTGGTAGAACATTCATTGAGCATACTTAAACAAAAAGGTCAATGTGTTTTCAGTGTTACAGAAGCAAGTCTTCATTGGCCCTTAGGAAGAGTTGTGGTTTCTTTTGTTTGTAATGCCCCATTCATTATTTTTCTTCCTGGCTGTGCACTTTGTTCTTTTGTTAGTACAAGGTCTCATTGGGTAGTCCCAGCCTTGTGCTTTCCGTTTTTCTGCCGTGGCCACCTGAACGCTGGCTGTAGGCGTTAACTCCATGCTCAGCCAAGGTTTTTATTGTTCTGAAAGCTAGTTTGCTTCTTTTATAAAGTTACTGGCGTCCCTTACCAGAAGTGTGTTTGATTAAATCATTATTCCAGATGTGACTGAATGTATGTATGCTTGTTTTCAGTTGGATACCAGATCAAGATTCAGAGGAAGAAAAGGATATTGATAACATTAAATTGGAAGCAAGAAAATCACCCCAGATCGTCTCTGGTCCTTAGCAGGAAAGAGCCAACATAGGAACAGTAGCTGCTGTGTCTGCTTGACGTCTGGACCGGGACTTCCCTCCAGAGAACATTAGAGAAAATGGTTAAGTGCTGTTTCTGAATGATTCTGTCATGTGAAGTCGTTTATAGAAGAGACATTTGATTGAACAAATATGGGCTAAGAATTTGATGTGTTTTGGGAATTGCCTAATGGCAAGATTATGTTCAAGGATGACTCTTCAATCAGACTACACAATGTGAGCATCCAGGCGGTCATGTGACTGGCACACGTAGTACCGTAGACCCCGTTCGTTGCAGGCTTCTTCCAACTCTTGTTTCTTGGTTTCAATTTAATCCAGTCAGTCCTCTCCTCGTAATGGGATAATACCAACCTAAGCCCACATCCTCAAGATCTGTGTGGCCCCAAAAGGAGAGTGAGGGCCCACAAATCACACCCCACTGAAGCACTCTGGCCTCTTTTGGGTCGAGCTCCTATTCTAGCCTTTGTGGTCTTGCCTAGATTGTGATTTCCGGTCCTGTGCCTACTCCACTCACAATCTCATTGGATGGTTACGGGCCTCATCCCTAAATACTGGGATCTGTACCAAATGGAGACAACAGATAGCAAATATCAAAGACATGAAGTGGCTGGAGAGTTCAGAGTCATGGTACTTTATTTTGGTCACTTAACACAGTAGAGAGCCTTCAGGAAACTGAATTTCCAGTTTGGTTTTTGGGATTAAGCAGTGGGAAGTTGTAGTAGCTTGTTTACCACTGTGTAGTTCACTGGGCTAAAGCAGTCAGCCATTGTGTAGCTCACTTGCTGTTTTCAAAGTTCTGATGCTGGGTGGATTCCCCAGGCTATCACCGAGGTCTGCCCTATATACCGCCCTCCACGGGACTGGGAAACAGCTCACCCTTTAGTCCTGCTGTCTATGTACCAAACTTGGTGTATGTCAGCGGTGTAGAGGGTCATGCCTTCTACATGCTGGGCAAGGCGACCACTGAGCTACACCTCCCACAAGTGCTCCAATTTTCATTGAAAGTAACTCCGATTAGAAACTATGAAATGTTTGTATAAAAAGCCTCTGTTTAGAGATAGCTTTATTTGGAGTAATTCGTATAATACAAAATTGAACCTTTGTTAGTGCTTGCAGCAGTCATTATAATTCCAGAATTTTCATCATTTCTAGAAATTCACACTCATTAGCAGTCTGCCCTCAACTGAAAGTCATCATTGTTTCTATGGGGCTGTCTATTCCATATGTTACATAACTGGAGTTAGAAGCTTCTGTTACCAAGTTTAACAGGTTTATTCATGTAGCATCAATCTGTAATTCAGTAGACATAGCCCATATTTTTAAGGTATTCATCCGCTAATGAGCTCTGAGCTTTTTCTCCTTGAGGGCGTTTAACTAATGCTGTGAACATCCATGAAAAAGTTCATCGTGTTTCATTTAATGCTTGCCTTAGAGTGGAATACAGGTTTGTACATCAGCCTCAATTTTACCATTTTTTGCACAGAGGTTTTATCACCATTTCATACTTTCAAAGCAACTAGGTTCCATAGTTGTTCACATAGTTGACAGACATTCTGCTTGGTGAGAGGCTTCTGATTGGGATCACATTCTCTAATGGCTAAAATCGCTTGCTTTCTTGTGTTCATTGGACATCGGTATGTTGCCTTGGCCAAAAAGCTATTTCAGTCTCCAGTTTGGTTTTCAGTTGGCTTATCTTTTCATTTTCCTGTAAGACTTTTAAAGAAATTATTGTAGATACAAGTTCCCTAAAGATAGCTGGCATTTTTCCCCCTCAACTTTTGGTTTTTCCTTTTCAGGAAATAGTGAAGCACACTATTTTTATGTGTTTTAGAGGCCGGTTCTTAGCCCAGGCTGGCCTGGAACTCACAATGAAATCTTGACTTGGAGCAAGTAGTTTGCTGCTTCACCTCTCAAAGTGCCAAGTTTACCGGTACAAGCCACCATGCTTGGCTTAAAGAACAGTTTTAATTTGGGTAAATTACAATTCTTTTTTTTTTTTTTTTTTCTTTCAGTGTGCTGTAAGAAACCATCTTAAACTTACCAGCCCAAACTTACAGAAACATACTCCTATGTCTTCACTGCAGAGTTTTATAATTTTACCTCCCATCCATAGACCTGGGCTTGCTTTCAAAATAATTTCATATACCTTATTTGTAGCCATATTTCAAGTTATTGGTTAAGTATAAGCAACAGAACTTAGCATCTTAAGTGTTGAATGCACCTAACACTGCAGTCATAGTCTGCAGAAGAATTCTTCACTCACCTCACAAAATGAGCTGTCAGGTCATCCCTCCCTGCTTACCCTTGGCATGCTGTTTGTCTGCCTGCCTGCCTGCCTGCCTGCCTGCCTGTCTGTAGTAATCACTATTCTATTTCTTGTGTCTGAATTTGAGTACCCTAAGTGCCTGGTATGGATGCAATCTTAGTATGTGAGGTTTTTTGAGGGATGGGAGGTTCAGTCATTGTATGTCATGTATTTCCTTCCTTTGTAAGGTCAAGTAGTATTCCTGTGCGTGTGTGTCCCTTACCTTGTTACCTACTTATTCATCAGTGGATACCTCGGATGTTTCCACTGCTGAGCTCCTGACTATTGCTGTGAACATGTATATAAAAGTATCACTGGGACCCTACTTCCAGTTCTAGCGTATACCCAGCAGTGTGTGTCATAGGGCAATTGTTTTCGGTTCGAGGCACTGCCATACTTTTTGTAGCAGCCACACTATTTTATTTCTTGTTAGCAGTACACGAGGGTTATTATAACTGCCCTATAGCCTTGTCAGCTTGTTTCCTAATCTCTTAGTGGCCATTCTAACGGGTGTGGATGTGTCTATCCCAGTGACTCTGTTTGGCATTTTCCTGATTAGTGATGCCACATGCTTTAAATGCTTGTTGGCCTTTAGAGATTGCTTGAAGAAATCTTTTTAGGTCCTTCGCCCATTAATAGTGGGTAGTTGACTCTTGAGTTTTTCGTAGTCATATCCAGAGAAGTATCATACTACCCAGTGGAGCTAATTATAACTTGCCTTGGGAAATTTTAGTTCTAGCTCTTAGCTTTGCTCTTTGATCCATTTTGAATTAATCTTTGACTGTAATGTGAGTTAAGGGTCTGACTTCCCGTTCTCCTCATGTAAATATCTAGTTTTCCGCATTGCCCTGTGGTGGGAAAAAGTTCCACCATGCAGGACACGGCTGTTTCTAAGCCCCAATCTCTTTCCTGGCTTCTGTGTCTTTGCCAATGCCACTCTTTTAATTACTGGAACATAATAAAATCTGAAATCAGAAAATGAGTTCGTCTTTGTTCTTTTTCAAGATTATTATTTTGGGTATATGGAGTCCTTTGAGAGTATATTTCAGGATGGATTTTTTTTCTTCCTCTCAAAAGAATAAAGTGCGGTTGACGTGTGAGTTGGGAATGCATTTAACCTCCTGAACTCCTGAGTGCACGGACATCTACATGATCAACTTCTCCAGTCCACAAGAGAACCTTTTCATTCACTGGCATCTAATCACAGCAGAAATATAAAGTTTCCAGTGTATTAGATTTTCTCGTTTGTGTTTATTCCTAAGCATTTTGTTCTTTGATGCTAGATTTTGTCAGATTTTAACATGTATCGAGGTGAGTGTGCATGAATAACATGCAGAGGTCAGGAGACAGACTGGAACCCAGGCCTTCTTTCACCACTGGGTCCCGAGGAGAATTCAGGTCTTAGTGCTTGATGTCAAGCACATTCACTCACCGAGCCATCTTCCTGGACATGTTCCTAAATTTTTCACTGAGTGTTAGGCTTTAAATACTTTCCATTATTAAATATAACCAGCACAGAGGAAAGGAGGCAGGGTATTTATTGTCATCAAATGACTGTAACTTGACAAGCTGGAGTCATCTGAAAGGGGAGCCTCAGTTGAGAAAATACCTCCATGAGATCCAGCTGCTGTAGGGCATTTCCTTAACTAGTGACCGGTGGGGGCGGGGCCAGCCCACTGTGGGTGGTGCCCTCCCTGGTTCTGTAAGAGAGCAGGACCAGGGAGGCAGGGGAAGCAAGCCAGTGCCTGCATCAGCTCCTGCCTCCAGGTTCCTGCCCTGGCTCCCTTCAGTTGTGGACACTATAGAAGAGTAAGTGAACATCCCTCCACCGCCCCCCCCCCACCAACACACACCTGCTTTTTGGTCATGGTGTTTGGTCACAGCAATACATACATTTTAACTAAGACAGGTGCCCTCTCACTTGCCCCCAAGCAAAACTCACTGTGCTCCTGTTGCGACACTGCTGGCCCTCTGAGCTGGTGAACTGGTCTCCTCCACTGCATCTAGAATAACTAACTGATGGTTAACAGGCAACAATAGTGTACACATAGGAAACTTCAACTAAACACTACAGATCTGCCGTGTGTGTGTGAGCATGTGTGTGTGTGTGTGAGCGTGTGCGTGTGAGCGTGTGAGCATGTGTGAGTGAGCGTGTGTGAGCATGTGTGAGCGTGTGTGTGTGTGTTTTCACAGGTAAGTGCATGCATACATGTAGAGACCAGAGTGAGTGTCCTTTTACCATGTGGATTCCAGGGATCAAACTCAGAGTGGCAGGCTTCATGTCAAGAGCTTTTATTGTTGAGCCATCTTGCCGGCCCCTCATCTATTAAACTTCTAAGTAGCTCCTTTATTGCAGGAATTCCACTTACCCTTATAAGTGCAAAGGCAAGACTGACCAAATACACATGACATAGTCTTTAAAAGAATGTAAAAATGCCGTTCATAAAATGAATACAATATATTCATACATTTAAAAAATTAGAAAAATACTAAATTATATACTATTAAAAAATTAAATGATGAAAATATTAAAGGACTTTTTTTAAAACCCCTTACCCCTGAAGTCGCCATAGAGGACTATGAATGAAGACAGAGGGAGGAGTCTTCCAGATCCCAGTGACCAGGATGTGTGTGGATGGAAAGTTAATGAAGGATGGGAGAATGGACCTTACCGACTGGATGGGATGCTCTGACGGTTGCTCTTAGCTGCCAGGTTAACCTAGTTGACTAGCAAAGCACCACTTCTGAGTGTGCAGGAAGGACACTTTTGGAGATGATTGACACAGGAGAGGAGCTGCAGAAATGGGTCAGGAATGTGGGCAGCGCCACCCAGGAGGCAAGGCAGGCAGTGCTGCAGGCTCTAAGCGGCCTCTGCCGCTGCTGCCGCCGCCTGTGGAGATCACACGGCGCTGCTCAGCGGACTTGGACCAGTGTAGTCCAGGGGCTTCCAGGTCCTCAGCCTCTGGCTATCACCCATTCTCTTGCTCCAAGCTTCCAGATTCTTTGCCTCTACTGCTACCAGGTTCTCAGCCTCTCCAGCATGCAGGCAGCCACACGCTTCCAATTGTAGAAGCCAATAGGGGAAGACATTGACAAACCCCTGGCCTCCATACCAGCTCACATAGACAGGTGGGCACACACCCATGAGAACATGCATATACACATACATACATACAAAAAATGAAATGCCAAAAACACTGCAAATAAGAACAGGAAGACACTGAATGCAACAACCAACACCCTGGAGCAAGAGAGGCAAGGCAGAAAGCACCACCGTTAAACAGCACAGCGCATGCCAACAAGGACCTACTGTGCACCAGAGCCCAGCCTTCCAGCACAGGCACTGACAACTGACAGCTCAGTCACAAGGACATCATCACCCTCGGTGGAAAAGCCCAAACCTGATTTCACAACAAACATCAATGGGAACAAGACAATCACATAAACATTTAAGACTCCTGCATCCCTAACGTAGATGAGGTCAAAACCCAGCTAACCCATGATAGGGGAGTTAATAGAATGTTTATTAAAAACTTCACAACATCACATGTGTCAGTAGAGCACACTTGACATTTGCAGACTCAAGGAGAAATGGAAGCAAGACTCCAGCCCTGAGTCTGTGAGAGAAAGTGGGTTAGCACCGGCTATGAGGATGGTAGGTTCTCAGACAGACATGTCTGTTGCTTTTAATTCCTTTCCATCGCCAGGAATCTCCCAGGGAAATTACTGGACACGTGTTCCTTGAAGGAGATACAGGGACTCAGCACAAGCTGCTTGCTGATGACACAGAGCTCTAAACAGAGTGCTTCTTAGCAAGTCCCACACGATGGTGGCCACACACGTTCACGAACACAGACCAAGGGCCGCACAGCTACCTTCTGCTGTTGTCCACAGTTGACACATGCAAAAACAGCCTCGTCCCAAGTCCCTGACCGGTGAGAGACAGAACCTGGATTGGGACCTGGGACTGTCTGCGATGTCCGTTCTTAACCACACACCCTATTTCAAATGAACTAAAAACATGGTTACGAAGACATTACTTCCCCCATTTACAAGCTTACAAACCTTGTACCTAAGCCTAGTGGTTTAGTGTGCTGCCAGTGTAGGAGAATGAGTCAAGGAAGACCAAGTTCAATGTTGTGAGTTTTTATTATTTATCATTCTAAAGACAAGCACATTTACAGCATACATGGCTTTAAATGAGCTAAGAATATATAAAACAGTAACTATATGTTCATATATATTAATACTGTCCCAAACAAATAAATAAGAGTATTTAAATGCACTAAGCTTGGCAAATACAAGTGAGGGGGATAAAACAGTACTATACAATATTTTTACATCTTTAAAGGAAAGTACAGGCAGCTGTGCTGCAGGATCCACATGACCATCCCAACTGTCCAGACACCGCACATTTTCCTTTTTCAATGGGGGCAGATGGTGGACGGAACGTCTACTTGGTGGAAAACGGTAAAACCATTTCCCACCTACAGTGAACAACGCAGCCTCCTGGGGCAGCCAGGAGCCGCCTGTGCCCATGCTGTGCAAGGTGCCCCTTCCTGGCAAGCCTGGGCCGTGTGATCCACTGGGAGCCAGTCACAATGCCTTCAGGAAAACCCTGGAGCCACAGTCTTTTCCGTGATTAACCAAGTCTTTGAGTTTTACAGTGATTCATAGTAAAACAAGAACTAAGGGAAAGATTCCCAGGCAAACCTGACAGGTCAGCAGTTATGCAGTTACGCCGTCTTCCCTTGTGAGTGTGGACAGAAAGGAAAGCTGGAGAACATGGGAAACATTTCATTTTAACGTCCAAACAAATATTTAAAAAGGCAGTGATGGCAAAATAAAAAAATGAAACTAAAAACTTAAGAGTTAATGGACCAAGGGAGAGGTAAAAGGCTTACTCAGCCCGCCACACTAAGCCGCAGCAGCCTTTGATCAGGAACCGAGGCTGCAGGAGAATCTGACAGCAGCAGAGCAGCCCCCTGTGTGGCGGGTTGGGTGGTGACAGCTTCCTTGCCACTCACCTTCCATGTGCCACGCCCTGAGAGCGGGGCAGCGAGCCAACCCTCAGCAGGGTCATCTTCCTCCCAGCAGGCACCAGGACTCGGGGCTGTCTGCACTCGTAGAAAGGGATGCCTGCACCCTCCCTGGCGCCTGTCTGTGCCTCAGTTTCCCAGGTCCAAGTTTGTTACATGTTTCTAAAGGAGCTAAAAGGAAACTAGCTGGACTTCTATAGGAATTCCCCTGGCGTTCACAAGTCATTAGTATCAGCATCATGGGTGTATACCCCATATACACTTCTTTTTACAGCCTCTTAAGTAACACAGACAGAATGATAAACAGAATTTATAGAACATATAAATTCTAAGGAAAAAAGTCTGCTATGTGCAGATAAGACTCATCATCACCTTGTAAAAGATGAACAGACTAAATTGTCTATGAAATACGTAACTTCCCTGTCTCACAAACCCCTCAGGCTCTCAATGTAGGGAACAGTTTTAACTGTCTTCAGTAGTTGTCTAACAATAACAATTATTGCAAACCAAAAACTACAACGGTTTCTTTAGACATTCAAACATGATTTATGGTTTTCTGCAAGATTAGTAGAAAGCTCCTAGAACATTGATTCTGAAAATATTTAAGAGTGTACCATCTCTATGGCCCTCAGTCCCCGACTGGAGAGTTGTCTCCCAGGCCCCTGACGAGCCACGCTGAAGGTCCTGACTGCTCGAGAAGGAAGGGAGCCATGCCCGGTGGGTGTGGAGCTGATGAGGCAGTTTGGGGACCTCATGGCTGGTTTTGGTCTCAAGCAGACTCTTCTGTGACTGGAAGGGCAGGAAGCAGTGTGGCCCGGGCGTGTGGCCCTGGTGTGACTGACCAAGCTGTCCTTCCACTCCCATTCATAGGCTGTCCTGACTCCTTCCTCCCAAGCTGAGCTGCTAACACCTGCGGCTCTGCCGGGGACCGGAAGTTTAATGGGGGAGGGACTTCCTGTTTCACATTCAGACTTTTGAAAGCAGATTTTAAATCAATGCTCACCTGTGAGTTACTGAATAGAAAAATAAGTTGGATGAGCAGTGCCTACGTGGGTATCTGAAAAAGTCTCCCAGAGTTTTAGACAAACCAAGCTGGCTTCTAGGAACTATGACATTAACTGTATAGTTACAGCTGAAAGCTATTGTTAGGGCAGCCATTACTATCCACACTACTGAGCCACACACGACCCCCTACAGATTCCAACACAAAATCATGCTCCATAGACTCTTTAGTGAAGTATTTTTAAAAACACAAAAATAAAAACGAATCCTTCGGGTCTTCTTGAGGATCATATGTGACACTATAGGGAACCCACATTGATTACGTAACAGCTAATTAGAGGAAACCGTGTGTTCATGTCTCAACTTTTCCGTAAGTCCCTTCTGGAGGCCTGTAATGCTTGGGGAAGGCCTTCAGCTGCAGGGAGTTAAATGCATATTTGCGACTTCCAACATTCTTCATTGTGTTTTCTCTTCGACAACCCTCACTGGGGAAAAACAAGCACAAAAAATGACAGCAATAAAAAAGGAAAAAAGAAAAGACTTAAACTAAGATGAAATGAACTGAGTAATTTTCATAGCATCAAAACAAGATTAATTAAAATGGGTGCTGGACTCATTTACACAGATGCACACGTAAGACGGTGGATCCTGAACAAAGCAGCGAGAAGCACAGAGATGGCTGCATGCTGGATGTGGTTGTGGGCTGGCAGTTTCAGAGCGATGTTGCATCTAAGCAGACACAATTATTTTAAAAATCCATGATTTTGTGTGTATCGTAGGTTTGGTTATCTGGAGTTCGATCATAACTTGTGGTTCAAAGATTTTTTTTTTTTTTTTTTTTACAGCAAACTGAAAGAATGCTGATATTTTACTCTCCCCATGGCTTCTAAAACATTGTACCTTTTGTATGTTAGCAAAATCTGAGACTGCATCAAACCCCAAATGCGGATTTCCTTGCAGAATTCAACAGGTAGCAAGACACATCTGGCAGAGGAGGCAGCTCTGATGTCTGTCTCCACCTGGTGGCAGCTGTTCAAAGTGCACACACAGGCCCACGCACTGTCTGCAAACATGGCCTGGTTAACTACTATCACTTCTACAAGCGCCACTGAGCCTAAAGTGAGCCCACAGGTGCTCTTCCCTTACAGAAGGCAGTACCAGCTTGAATCCCAGCTGCACTCCATGGAGGGTTGTCATAGCAACCCAGGGGCAAACCAAAGGGTGCCCAGCAAGAGGATGAAGAACCAGGTAGGCCTCAGAGGGAACCTCAAGGGACTTCTCCGGGCACTGCTCTGGAGTGGCATAACATCAACAGCCAAAAATGATTCTTAATGTAAATTCCTTTCCACAGCACAGTAAAACTTGCTATTTTTACAGTGTTTAACGAGTAGCAATGAAATCAAGTAGTTATCAAGTTCAGTTTAAAAAAAAAAAAAATCCCCCTTCTGAGATGTAAAATTTGCAGTTACCAAGAAAACAGTTGACTTTAAAAAAGTATTTCAAATCCTGTGAAGACCACATGACATACATTTAAAAAAATAGCAGCTCAAGCGGTTCAAAGTGAACATGACAGTCCCCTAGTTAAGAACATGTCAGATAGGTCCTGGTGAAACAGTAATGTCTGCTCACGAGACAAGTCCTGGCGGGTTAGAGAAGCAGCCATGGCTTGCTTCTAACTGGCACAGCCACAAGTGCACGTCCTTAGGCTGGATGTGTCACCTGAGCTAGGGCCCTGGGCCACCAGAGCAAATGACAGCACGTGCTGGACATTCAGTAGTCAGATAAAAATACAATCTATTTAAAGCAGCAGCTGAGGTCCCTGTGCACAGCGCACCTGCTGTGGACTTGGGAGCTCCTTTACTGACAGACGACTTCACATATGACATATGGCTTCTCCACCTACACAGAAGGTCCTCAAACCCTCCTAGCCAGTAAATGCCAGGCGAGAACTTAAAAACTTTGACAGTCTCTGTATTTACCTGTGAAAGGCACTAAGACTAGGTTTAGCTGGCTGCATACACTGTTCATGAACTTACAATTCAAATTATGCCTTTAAATTGGTTTTTAAATCAAGCTGTTTCTTCCACATGCTTATATCCAGGCTGATACGCCCGGTCTGCATGCTGCCACTATTGACGTGATCTGCCGGTGTCTGTGAGCTGGCTTGAAGGCCTAGGGACAAGGTCTGCAGGGTGGTAAAGGGTGTCCTGTTGCAGAGTCCAGCATGGTGGCCTGGCGCATAGCACTTTTACTGACCACACTGCTACAGTGTCTTTAGGAGGCGATAGCTCAGGACACGATTGGGGCAGATTTTAACAAGAATTACTTCATTTCACGGACGTCAGCTTTGGGAATCTGAATGGCAACTCTGAAAGGACAATCCTGGGACCTCTGCTTTTCCTTTGGGGACTTCCATTTTCGAGTTCACCTGAAGGTCCCCATGTCTAGGCCAGGCCAGGCCAGACAGGGCCACGGCGAGTGACTGTGTCTGAAGGCGTACAGGGAGATGCAGTGACAGTCAGCCTGCTCAAAGAGCGTGCACAGCGTTCTCTGCAGCACTCAACACCAGCCCCTGAGCATGGCTCTCCCCTTCAGACCTGCTGCTGCCCAGGGTGCAGCCTGACCAGTCTCTGTGCCACAGCTCAGGGTTACTCAGAAGCAACCCAGACGCCTCACCCAACACTAACAGTGGCCAACCTGATCACCTCTTACCCTGTTTCTCCTCGTTTCTTGCTGTAGACAAGATTCTGAATAAATATGTAACTTGATTTCATGAACAAACAGCCTTAATGACATTTAAAATCCTGTATAGAGCACAAGCTCTCCCCACCCCCCCCCCAATATGTTAGAGGGGAGAAAGGAAATGCAAATCTCAAATGCCCCCTTAAGGGGGTGACTCACAGAGCCAGCCTTTTGTGCCTGGAGGTGGTGTACTGCATTCCACTCACCCCTGGAAGAGAAACAAGGGCCCTCACCGCTTGCCTTCCTGACCCAGCACCCACACCCCGGGGTACATAAGACAGGAGGGAGGCTGGTACCATAACAGACCCAAGTGCCTCAACCGGAACCCTCCCCGCCTGGGGTGTGGGTGGGGATTTCTCTAAACAGTCACCGTTTCCCTTTGCTGTGCAATGGTCCTGAGAAATGTCCCTGCAAAGAGATATGGGCATCCTGGGCCATAGGAACAAGGTGCTGTCTCTGCAGTTACTTCCAGAGACTTCCCTCATCTGTCTATGGTCCTGCTTGGCCACAGCAAAACCCTGGAAATGATGCATTCCTGAGTCACCTCCATGCTATCGGAGGTATCAACCTAGAGCAAGGAATGGGAGGCCGTGGGATGGAGATGGAAGGGGACCACGCACTCTCTTCCCCTATTCAAATGAAGCAAACAAAATGGTCGTAGAGGCTTGGAGCACATGCTCTGAAGTGAAAGGGCATTCCTCCACTCCTCCACCACTGCCAGCTAGCATGCTAAAACGCTAAACTTCGAGATGCCAGAGTTGTCACCATGTTTACACTAGGAGAGACACCAGACCTGTTTGTGTGGGAACACTGAGGCTGGCCTGCCCTGGGCAGCCTGCAGTGCTCAGATCTTAAGAAAAGGGGCACTCCTCGGTGTGCTAAGGACAACCTTCCCCAGCCCAATTACAGATTCAGTACAGCATCTGGTATTCACTAACTGCTCTGCAATTCCCACACCTAACTCCGAGAGGAAGCCGGGCCACAGACAGTCCTCCAAGGAGGGTCAGGACGTTTCACGGAAAGAACAGAGAGGCTAGGGTTATGGTGGATGAGTCTGTGGGCATGAGCTTGTCAAGACACTGGAAACTCCAGCTTTCCACCAGACTCGTGAAAAGAAATCCCCTCCATTGTCAAACTGGAGGTCAAAGGCAGAAACACAATCTAGTATGAAGTGGAAGATGGAGAAGCCATTCACTATTTCTTACTCAAGGTGAGTGGCACCTTCCCTAGGTTACTTGGCTACTTTTATGGTAGACAATTACTCTCTGTCACATATGAGTGCCATGTTAAACTCAGGAGTGACATTGGCAAAATGCACAGTTACTCCCCCTTCTCACAGCTCTATCTTACACAACTTCCAAAACTTCAGCTTCAGTTTTAAAAATCATTTCCTTTGATTTTTTTTTGTTTATTATTAACCTTACTGAATCAGTAAAAGAGATACCTAGACTTCATCTGGAATAAAACACACAATTTTTAAACTAAAAGTTATTTCAAGAAAAAGTATATAACTCTCGCTACTATGTGTACTAAGAGCAGCCGTGAAGTCACATGCAACATGCGATCTTTGCACGCTGGACTCGGTGGCTCCAGCTGTGCCCACAGCTGTGTCATCACCAACAGCAAATAACGGGAAGCAAGGAAGTGTGACTCTGCAAACTAAGCAATCCCAGGACTACACTTTGAAAGGAAAATAGGAAGTCCAGTCCTATTAGACAGGGGTATCTGAATAAACTGATAAAGCGTCTTTTTCTTGTTAATTCCTTCAAAAGGCAAGGAAGGTTAGCAACACACTTAAGGAATAGTATCAAATATACAAACTCTTTGCAGACAGCATCCCTTTCTCTTGGAACAGGGCACATGAGATGTACAGGTAATAAATAGTTATACATCAGAAGGTTAAGATATTTGGTACAAGTAATTCCAGGCCAGCTAAGTAATGCAGTCACAGGGCACCAGAAGAACACACTACACAATCGGAATGAACAAGTCCTCTTGATGAAAGAATTTGGCAGATATTTACAGTTCAGGAGAACGAAACGGCAAACTGTAAGGCATGAGATATTTCTCGGCAGACCTCACTTTGGCACCTTCCTTCTGTCCAGTTTGGTACACGGTGGCTGGACATATTCGGGCATTTTGTCTGTCTCGTGACTAATTAATTTTTCATAATGATATTTATTTGCAACGCAATTTGGTCACCAGGTATGCTATGCTCAGAAAGAGCCACACAATCAGTAAATTGGGGCTCAGAGCTACTAAAGGGATGGAACAGAGGAGGCTGGGGTCTAGCCTTAAGTCTCGGATGGGCACCAGGCCGCTCAAGTTCTTCTGGGTGACTACCTCCCGTGTTCCAATGCTGTGAAAAGGAAAAGTTGGGAGAAAGGAAAAGAAAAGGGGAAAGGAAAGAAAGGAAGGAAGAAAAAAGAAAAAAGACACACGCGATGGGTTTTACCCAAAAGGATGGGGAGAAAGGAAAACCAAAAGATAAGATTAAAAAAACATGGAATGAACCACAACAGAAAAGAAAAGAAGATGCAGAGAAGGTGTGAACAAAAGAGCAAAACAAAACCAGCACAGTTACAGGAAAAGAAAGGAGAGAAAGAGAAATGAAAAATAAGAAAAATACTGTAGTCTACCAAAATTAAGCACATGTAGGTTGCAAGGATGGTTTTCCATGTTCACCCACTCTCGACTGGCCAAGCACAGCTTCATGCCGCCCGCCATGCCCCACATGCTGCCGATGGGCGCTTCTGAGAAGCAAGCTGAACATGAAGAACCATGGGGTCTGACCTTCTCACAGATGCCTCGGTGACGGTGGCTACAAAGCCGACTCTTGATTAACACACAGACAAAAACCATTTACCTGGGCGTCAATCCAGTGCGGTGCCCTCCCCCACCTGTCTCAAGTCTCAGTCTGAGTGGCCGGCAGTATCCTAAGATACTGTTCTAGAAGATGATCCCTCAAAATGGAGTCAACCAAATTCACATTGGAAATTTGGGATTTTTCCTTATTTTAGTCCTAAAGAAAAAAATGTTCTGGAGGCTGAGTGTAGTGTAGCTCAGTGGTCAACTATGCTAGGTGGCACTCGGCCCTGGGCTCGAGCTCCAGTACCAAAAAAGGGGAAGGAGGCTCTGACGCTGGATGGTATCTGGAACCACATGACTGAGGACCATCATCTCTCCTCTCTAGCAAACAGCAACACTAACATGGACTCTGGTCTCAGGGCATGGCAGGCACTCTGAAAGGACAGCTTGCAGTGGGCGGGGCTCAAGATGCCTTCTGCAGTTGCATCCTGCCTGGCTTTCTGAGCAGAAGCCTTAAGTTCTGGACGGGTCCTGCTGGAACGTGCTTTTCTGACAAGGGACACTGTGCAAGCTGTCAAGGACTGATTAATGATTACAATGTGTGCCAAGGCCGCCTGGTGGGTCGTTGTGGCTGTCCAGGAGGGCCTACTATTTGAGGATTTCAGTTCCTAACATGGCACAGAGGGCCACCTCTGCCTGTGCCGTTACCCTCAGCCCCAGCCCGGGGGGGGGGCTGGGGTCAGCCCACATTGATTACAGGAGTTGAGTATGTGAATGCAGACCCAATCTCATATTCAAATACACTGGGAACTTGAAATGGTCCCTGCTACAGAATGCATGATGCCCATGTGGGCGGCCACAACAGGTCAATTATTACTGTTACTATTACCATGAGCACATGTGCCTGTGTGTGTGCAAGTGCCCCCCCCCCAGGAGCCAGCACAGTGTCAGCTCTGCTCCTCCATTCTACTCTTCCATCTGCTAAGACACTTGAGAAAGCAAGAGAACTGAACGGGTCCCTCTACTCAGTGAGACGCGGGGACCCACCAGCGCCTGCCTTCTTCAGGGCTCTCAGGGCTGGTTGTCATGGTTGCAACAGGGCTTGCAGGTAACCAAGAGAATGTGTCTTCAGCACACGGGCTAATCCAGAAAACGGCTGCCAATGGCTGCATCACTTGAACACACACACCGGAAGGAGAGTTCAGGGCACTTCACCAGCAGAGGGCAGCATCGAGCACTGTCGTTATGGTAAGGCACTCTGGCTCTGCCATGGGAAACCCACCAGCACACATTTCTTTGGAGAAGTGGGGTACTGGGTCATCTGACTCAGAAGCCTTTGGGACTGGCTTGCAGGAGGAATTCAGAAGATCTGGAGAAACAACCTAAAAACCCTTAGGATGCTGTAAGCAGAATTTAACGGGTAATTCAAGAGGCTCAGGTGTCCAGATGCCAAACAAAATGGGGACAGTAAAGACCCTGTTCATGAGATTTCTCTCAGATGGGAACAGACTTGACTGGAAGCCAGACCAGAGCTCATGTGCATTACATTCTGGCGAAGAACTTATCTATATTTTGTCCTGGTCCTGGACGGTATAAATAAAGAAGTCAGAGCAGCCCATTCCTCATGCTGTTGCTGGCCAGATTGATGGTAAGAACTGGGAACAAAAAGCCTAGCTAAAAGGTGAAAACTGTCAAATTTGCCCAGAATGAGGCACAGCTAAAGCAGGCCAAGGAAGTTGTGGCTGCTAAGCACATCAGAACTCCCCTGTGGAAGATACTGGCCCCAGCTGGCAGGCCCCACTGAGAGGTGACTGGGCCCCGAGGACCCTGCTTTTATCAATAGACTGATCTATTGGCAGGGTCGTAGTTCAGTGCATTGTTATTGGGATGGAGTTATTGGGATAGGCACGACTGGAGGTAGCAGTCCCTAGGGGTGTGCCTTTGGAGGACACTGGTCCCAGCCTTTCTCTATAACCACGGGGATCCTGTCTGGGTTGTCCTCACTTCAGGGCAGACATCTGTGGTCCACTAGATCAGTCTTTCCCCTGCTGCACAATAATGTGGTATGGAATTATCTACTGCCCTCAGAACCAGGGTCACATCCGGTAGAGAACTACAAGGGGACAGAGATTCTGGACACGGACCCTTACTGCCTCCAAGATTCCTTTGCTTTTCCACCATAGGGACAGAGGCATGGAGTGCTGAGGAACATTAACAGAGGTTTCAATGAACTTGGAGAGCACACAGGTACACAATGATGCCATTTACGCTACTATCCAGAGGCTTGAGCTCAGGCATCACTTTGTGCATTGTGAGAAGGTCAAATGGCAGAAACATAGAGAAAGGATAAAGAACTCGGTGAGGGGACAGATGATACAGAACATTCAATAGGAGTGACTGTTGAAAACAAGACTGTAACAGCATTGGTGACTACATCAAAGGAGACAGGAAAACCAGGTTTCTTATCCTTTCTTTTGCTATGCGAGGTAGGGAGCTCCCCAGCAGTGCTTGAAACAAGGCATCCATCAACAGAGGACAATTTGAATTCTGGGTTTCAATCTGCAAACACATCTGCTGCCTGGGAATCAGGACATCATTAGGGGGAGGTGGCCAGGGCACGCAGACAGCTATGACCATAAAACATTCACTGGACATCTTGCTCACGAGAGCAAACTCTGTCCACTACTAGAGAGGTAGCAGAGCAAACCAGTGCAACCTGCAGACACAGTTCCTTCACTGGAGTTTGGAAGTATACAGCGCACACATACATACTCTGCAAGGGTGGCTGCCTGCTGAGGAAGCGTGGGCCCTAGACCCCAGTTGGGTGGCTCCCATCCTTGTTGAGCTGTCTGACCCCCAGCCTGCCCACCACTCTATGGGATCAGTTCAGTTCTGCTCAAAAAGAATGTGGCTTGTCCTCCCGGCCTTCTGAGAGTTTGACATGGCCAGTAGTGTGAGCAGCGGTCAAACTCTTGTGTGCTAAAGTTTAGGACCCCCTGTGGGGCGGGGTATGGGCTCATCTGCAGTTTACACAGCAAAGGGATGCAGGTGGCTGGGCAGGCGCAGCCGTCACTCACCTGCGCATGCACTCCAGGGCCTGTGTGAAGACCTGCGGGGCCATGCCGTGCTCATGCTGCAGGATCAGGCACTGCTCCAGCGTCACTGACATGGCCGTGCGGTCCTTGGCACTCTTGCAGCTGGTGAACCGGACTCCATTAAGGCGGCGACAGACCTGCCAACAGTTAATGGGCCCTTTTTAGGAGAGAAAAGCCAGCAGAAAGGTAACACCCACAAGGGGAGGGCGCCCCTCAGGTGGGGCAGGGGCACCAGCAGCCACTCCAAGCCGAGCCCGAGCCTGGCTGCCTGGCTGCCTGGCTGCCTGGCTGCCCAGCTCTGCCCTGCTCGGTTGTATCAGGACCTAAGTTAACTCCAAAGGAAGGCTCTGGCACCTAGGAGCCCGACTTCATCTCTGCCCCACAACCTCACCCCTCAAGAGAACTGTCCCTTGTTTGTCCTCCCAAGGGACATTCCCTCTAGAGACTTTTGGGCATCACTGTTTTGGACTAACCCTTACCAGCTAGCCTTTATAAGCCATGCCCAACCCAAGGAATGAGGATACACAGGGTAAGCCAGCAGGGGAAACACTGCCATTCACATGGCCCTCTGCGAATATAAATCCTCTCCCATGGCAAGAACACTGTGGATGTGTCCTTTCAATGTTAGACACACTCCTAGATTCTCCTGAACACAGCAGCCCCTGTCACTAGAAAGACTCTGCAATGACAGGTTCCCAAACTAGCAGGTCTACAGCCAGCTCTGGGGCTCTGGCTAGGTCTCCTCATCTGCGAAACGATCAGCTCAACCCAACTGAAGGTTTTTCAACAGACTAGTTGGGACTCCGTTCATATACAAAAGTAAAAATAAGATTCAGAAAAACAACATCTCTGGGGGACACAGTGTCTAAACTCTCTCTGTTGCCCCAAACCTACTGTTCCCCACAGGTGACCACATGGGCAACATGAAATGGGATATACAAGGGAACCTGAAAACTCTGCACCCCTGAATCTATGCCTCTATGGCTGGGACTCCACTGGGAACACGGAGTATGGGGCTGGAAGTCTGCTTTTGACTTGGTAGGGAGGGTCGGCTGCCCCACATCTAACTGATGATTGTTCTGTGGCATGCAATCGACAGAGAACCCTAAATAAGGCATGCATGGGTCTGTGTATCTGCAAAGCTGTCCCTGTGACACTCGAATGGATCAGTGAGGGACAGCCCTAGTTCAGGATCTGTCAGTGTCACCGGACTATGTTGCATGAAAAAGGCAAGTTCACAAAGGCGCTTATGAAACGGCCTGCCACTTTATAGTAGTTCTCTCAAATTAACAGGAAGAGGTAACCTCCTCCCCTCTCTCCACTGCATGGATACAAGAGAAGGCATGTTCTCCCGTGTTTCTGCATGGGTACAAGAGAAGGCATGTTCTCCCGTGTTTCTGCATGGGTACAAGAGAAGGCATGTTCTCCTGTGTTTCCATCCCATTTGCTGGACCCAGTCTGAATGCCAAGCTAGGTCCCAAACAAAGAGAAGATGGGAAACGCCGTCTGGGAATCTTGCTAAGACTTTTGTCACTTGGTGTTCAAAATAGGTCCCATTGTAATTACAAGCTTAAAGGGCAGCTTAGCCAGACCAAGATCTGCAGTGGGCCCATAGAGAGGGGACTCAGGACTGGGCTGCTGTAGAAGACGCAGAGGAGAAAGTCTACTCTCTAGCACTCCATTCCACCAGCAGGTCAGAAGGCACGGCCATAAGCCACTCCTACCGTAAAGCTCATCCAAGCAAAGGGCCGCCACAAAGACACCTTACCCAGGCTCTAACAGTGACTGGGGGTGGGCTAGCAAGCACCGTTTGCTGCCATGGGAGAAAGAGTTGGAAAAACCTGACGGACAGTGCCATCTGCCCCCATGTGAGGACAGCTTCTGCTTGGGCCCCTTCTCGCCCTCCTCAGGCCCAGGCATCGAGGTAGAATGTCAGTGGCGGTGCCCACAGTTTTCAATCTTGGAGCTGGCCAGGGCATACTGCCATGGGCATGAGGGGCATTCAAGTGACTGACTCAGATACCCCAGGTCTTAGTGGAGGCCTGGGATCCTGTGACTGAAGCTCTGAGAAAACAGCAGCCGTGCAGGCGCTTGGGGCAAAGAGGAGGTCGGAACGGCAGTGCGGAGTAAGAGCTCTATAAGAAGCGACGAGAGGTTGTCACAGTCTCCTTCTGAACCTCTCAAGCCCAGGCAGATAAGGCATCAGTAGGGATCAAACGACTGTGCAGGCTTCTCCAGAGGCCAACACATCAGCCCTGCAGCCAGATACCCGGGAAGAGATGCCATGTTCATGCAGCCCTATCAGAACGAACTCCTGGGCGGGGATGCTCAGGGTCTTTCAAGCGTCACTAGCGCTATGCAGTGACCCTTCCTAGTGTCCTTTCGTTGGAGGGATCTGAGCTCTCCTCCCTGGCTGAAGCATTGACCTGTCTATCTTGGCTACAGCGGTTGTTGGAAGGGGCACTGTAGCTCAGCTGCACCAGGACGAGTACCTCAGCAGCTTGCCAGAGGATGTCCACGTTCTTATTCTTGCGTGCATGGACATTCTGTCCTAGAAACCGCAGCAGCTCTGGCAGGCAGGTCTGACTCCGAGATCGGGGTAGACCTGGAAGAGAACAGGGGTCCATGGGAGAGGGAACCACTCAAACATACTGCTGCTGAGGAAATATTTTCCTGCCCCACAGCAGGTACGGGAGGAGTGCAGATCTGAACATGGTCACCAGGATGCTGAGCCCTGAATTCCCGTCACTGCTGTTAGTGCCGCCATCAAAGGGCAGCGACTTCTATCTTGTTGGCTTTCCCAAGAGGCAGGAGAAAGTGTTGCCAGAGGAAGAGTAATTACCCAAGCCCCTTGTCCCTCCAAGGGGCAGTGGCGGCAAAGGAGTGAGGGTAAGCTGCCCAGAGGAGAGCTTCATCTTGGGCAGGGCACTCACCCTCCAGAGGAGACAAGAACATCTTACCTCCCAACTGCCTGCCCACTGGTGTGTCCAGGTGGGAGGAGCCTATGATTCTGGGAAGCACAGTTCACGGTCCCTCCCTGGGGCTTACGGGTCTCACCTTCTCCCAGAATGCAAAGGAAACCAGCTTATAGCCCCTGTCATCATCTGTTCCTTTTTGGACCCACCCCACACACATAAAACTTTTATCTCTAGTCAGGGACAGGTGTCTGTATGTTCCGTGTGGTACCCACAGAGGCGGGGGCCAGGGACAGGTGTCTGTATGTTCCGTGTGGTACCCACAGAGGCGGGCCCATCTCCCTGGGGATGAACCCGGCAGAAGCTCAGCAGCTTTGCTGGGATGAAGTCAGAGGACTTGCGCAGCCACAAGTTCTGCTGAGCAGTTTGGGTGTCTCCTGGGTGCTGTGGCTGTCAGAACCCTCTCCCACAAACACTCAGGATCACGTGTCTTTTCTGCATCTTACTCTACATGCATAGCAGAAGAGAGACGGACGCAGGGGCTGCAGCACCAGGGAAGCTTTCCGGGGAGGGACTCAAGCCAGGCGAATGGGCGCCACGCAGGTATGTGAGGGCAGAGATGAACAGCTCGAATACATCCATGGAGGGCTCTGTGTACACAGTGAGTGAGCACAACAGTGCGCTAGGATGAGATGAGCAGCGAGCGTCCAAGCCAGAGCGCAGAGGGAAAACTGCACAAGCAGCGTGGAACATATCAGGAGTGAAGGGATACTCACAGTCCTCCGGCAAAACCTCCTTAAACTGCTCAAAGTAGGAATTTAACCGCACCAAACTCTCTACGTTGATGACTTCTTGTAAGGATGTGTCTCCAAACCTTCGGGGGAACCAGGACATCAGTAGAAGGGCCAAGTTATCAACCTCTAACAAACTGAAAGCTGCAAGAATTATCTACAAGGATCGATTCTCCCAAGTGGATGCCCTGGTGAGTCTAAACCCTACGCCTGTCCTTCCTTCCTGAGGATTAAGCCATCCTTACAGCAGTGGGGACAAATTTCACAAGCAGAAGCCACTGTAACTCACTACAGGTACATCTAAGCATGCACTGGTACAGGGCCCATGCTTGCTACAGTTTGGTAAGGAGTCTCTCCACTCAAGTGCACATGTGGAAGGCTTGGACTCTGGGTACCGGTGAGCGACTGGATCCTGATGACTCAAGGGTAAGTTTCCAGCCAAATGCTCCATTGGGAGCAGAGCCCAGCTGGAGGGCGCAGACACTGGGGGGCACATCTTTAAGGGTTGGCCTTGCCTTCTGACCCTTGCGGTCTCATGCACACCATGGGGTAAGCTACTTGGTCTCCACCATATGAGTTCTATGCCATGATTTTCTGCTTTGCCTTGCACGGGCTGAGGAACAATGGAGCCAGAAAGCATGGCTTGAAACTTCTGAAATCGTAAGCCAACATAAGCCTTTAATTCTTAAGCTTTCTATCTTTTCAAAGGTATTTTGCACAGCAGCAGCAACAACAAAATAACCAACAGTATCAGGCTCAGAGACTGAAAAGTCCATTGTGTGTCACAGGCTCTCAGCTTACAGTTCTTGTGTCTTCCTGCCTTGAAGACACCCTGGAAGGGGAGCAGCAGGCGCAGGGAGCCAGGAGTAAGGAGATTATGCTGGGGTCTGGAGTCACCCTCTGCTGTGTGAACACTAACTGTTCCCTGGCTGGGCTGGGGCCTTCTCTTCCCTCACTAGGTGGGTTTGACCTTTGTCCACTGCATGTTTGCATGTTGCAAGCATGACCATACCAAAAAGGCCCGTCGGTTGCACAGTCTGAGGCCTCGGCCCTCAGCCCAGCCCACACTCCCTGGCTCTATTCCCTTCCAGTATTAGCCTCAGAGGTAGTCCTCCCTCCTGCTCAACACAGACAATCCAGCTGGAGTCCACACAGCGCTGTGTCTCATAGGAGCCTGCTCCCTTGGGGGCTGGGGACATCTTCCCTTTCTGAGCAGTTTCCCTTCGTCCCAGAAGCAAAATCAGTATGCTGCTGGGACAGACCAACTCCACCCGGCATGCACTGTGGCCTCCTCTGCCCCCTTGGCTGCTTACTGCACGTGGGCTTGCCCCAGTCCTTCCAGAAACCACTTACAGCAGCTGAACACAGGGAACGTTGCTCTCTCTCCCAGGGCACCTTCAGCTGCAGCAAGAGACGCACTCTCCTCAAAGGAGATTCTTCTAGCTCATGCCTCAAGGAGGCTGTTTCCTCCACTGATGCCTTAGCCTGGGCCCAGGCATCATCTGCTCTAACACAACCTTCCTCACTGTCCTGAGCTCAGAGAAGGCACCAACCCACCTGTCCAATCTAGAAGCCTCAGTCTACTTACTGTCCATGCTACTTACATCATTCTCCAGCCGGTCCCTTCTCAGAGCACTTATCCCACACGCCGCGGGCCACCTATCCAGACCCACAGCACTGACCTGTGGCCCAGCCTCTTCAACACCCTCACGCTTCACCCGAACCCTTTCTACTCCTGGCCAGCAATATGGCCTACCTAACACGTAGATCTGATCATGCCTTGTTCTACTAAGAGGTGTACAACACCTTCCAGCAACCACAGTGTATTTCCCACAGTTCCCCGGACACCGAAGACCAGTGCGTAGGCACCAGGGGAGTGGCACACACCTCTCAGCCAGGGTCTGTTGCTCATTGATGCCCACGTTGAAGAGGACCGGCTGTACCCGCAGCAGCATGCCACTCTGGATCTCCCGGGGCAGGGAGTCAAACAGTGGTCCTGGCAGAGGGATCCGCACGTTAAAACCATCACTAGGAGAGGAGAGGGAAGCGGCGGTGAGGTCAGGAAGCACACTTCAGAGCCTTGGGTGACACCCTGGCCAGTGTGGTTCAAGTGCCCACTCAGACCCTTAAAGAGAAATTATGAAATTAACATGGGTGCGGGTAAGACTGTATGCCATACTTTAAAAGCGCAAAGGAAAATAAAAGCAAAGTGCAAAGGAGAGTGTGTCCCGAGACAGCATGATGGGAAGAGCTGCTGGCTCAAGTGGTAAAGGGTTCCTTTACCGGTTCCCGGTGATGACCGGCAGCATGTCAGTTGACGCACTTGAAGCGGCCTGAGTGACTTTAAAGGTCACATTCCTCAAGTCCATGATTCCAAGGCTCATGTCCTCCAACATGGCTAACTCCTCTCCTGAGAGCAGATGATAAGAGAGAGAAGGATGATGTCAAGGCCTGCTCTCTCCCCAGAACAGTTGTGAACAGAGGGCTAAGGACACAGGGGGAGGGCATTCTCTGAGCCCCTTCCCCTTGACTCCATGTTCTGTGAGCCAATCCGCTACTGACTGCGGAACAACCCTGCAAACACGGCTTGTGGAGCTGGGCACACCCTGCTCAAGCGGCAGCTCAAAGCCCACGCCAGCTCTTCACGGACGGGAAGGAAAACAGTAAAACCGCTCTGCTGTGGCCAACTGGTTCACCACCATGGCTGGATACCTCATCAAAAACCCATACTCCAACAAGACTGGATGCAGTCAGGGTGGCACGGCCATAGAAGAAGAATGCAGATAGATCCATATTTATCACTCTGCAGAAAACTCAGTCCAAGTGCATCCAAGGCCCCAACATAAAACCACACACACTGAACGCAGCAGGTGGGGAATAGCCTTGAATGCTCCCTGAACAGGGCACCGGTACTGCAGGCACGCAGATCAACAATAAATAAATGGGGCCTCATGAGACTGAAACTCTCTGTAAGGCACAGGACACTGTCAATACGACAAGATGACAGCTCACAGAATGGGAGAGATCTTCGCCAACTCCACATCTGACAGAGGGTTAACATCCAAAAATATAAAGAACTCAAAGATCTAAACCTAATTCTCAACAGAGGAATCTCAAATGGCTGAGAAACACGTAAGGAGATGCTCAACATCCTTAGCTATAAGGGAAATGCAAATCAAAATTTAACTCTGAGATTTCATCTTACACTTGTCAGCATGGCTAAGATCAATAACATAGTGACAGTTTATGCTGGAGAGGATATGGAGAAAGGGGAATACTCCTCCACTGCTGGTGGGAGTGCAAACTTGTACAGCCAACTTGGAAATCAGTATGGTGGTTTTGCAGGAAACAGAATCCATCTACCTCAAGACCCAGCTACATCACTCCTGGGTATATACCTAGAAGATGCTCCCACACACCACCGGGACATTTGCTCAGCTGTGTTCACTCACAGCAGCTTTACTCATAAAAGCTAGAAACTGGAAACAACATAGATGCCCCTCAACCAAGAATGGGTAAAGAAAATGTGGCACAATTATACAGTGAAGTATTTACTCAGCTCTTAAAAAATAACATGAAATTTACAGGCAAATGGACAAAACTTGCAAAAAATATCCCAATGGAGGTAACCCAGACCCAGAAGACAAGCATGGTACTATTCACTCATCAGTGAATAATTAGCTGTAAAGGATAATCATGTTACAAACCACAGACCCCACCCACCCAGGGAGACTAAGTAACAAGGAGGGCTCAAGGGGGGGGGCAGGAGGCACCTATGGATCACCCTGGGGAGGGTAAATGGAACAGATATCTCAGGTGGTCTGGGGCAGGTAGGGACAGGAGTAGGAGGGATCAGGTCGGGGAGGATGGAGGGAGAGTGTTCTGGGAGACACCACTAGAATCGGGGGCATTTGGGGACAAGGTATAAACCCGCTACACTGGAAACTCCCTGGAATCTATGAGTGTGGCCCTAGCTAAGACTCCTACTAATGGGGGATATGGAGCCTGAACTGGCCATCTCCTATAACCAGGCAAGGCTTCCAGTGGAGGGCCTGAGTTATCAACCCAGACACAAAACTTTCGACCTACAATTTGTCTTGCCTTAAAGATATGCTGGGTAGTGTAGAAATTGTGGGAGTGATTAACCAATGACTGGTCCAGCATGACACCCATCCCATGAGAGGAAGCCCACACCTGACACTTCCTGAAGGGCCAGGATCCAGAGGATGGATGGCCAGAGACCTAAGATAGAACCAAACATGACTGGGGGGGGGGGGACCCACCATGATCAACAACAATGAAGTGACTGATTGCTAATGGCACTCTGCCACACTCATATTGGTGTTAATGACACTCTGCCACACTCATAGACTGGTGTTAATGACACTCTGCCACACTCACAGATTGATGTTAATGATACTCTGCCACACTCATAGACTGGTGTTAATGACACTCTGCCACATTCACAGATTGATGTTAATGATACTCTGCCACACTCATAGACTGGTGTTAATGACACTGCCACACTCATATTGGTGTTAATGACACACTGCCACACTCATAGACTGGTGTTAATGACACTCTGCCACACTCACAGATTGGTGTTAATGACACTCTGCCACACTCATATTGGTGTTAATGACACTCTGCCACACTCAGACTGGTGTTAATGACACTCAGGCACACTCATATTGGTGCTTAGCCTAACAGTTGTCAGAGAGGCTTCATCCAGCAGCTGATGGGAACAGATGCAGAGGCCCACAGCAGAGCACTGAGGAAGAGGGGGAGGGAGGATTGTAGGAGCCAGAGGGGCCAAAGGATACCACAAGAACACAGCCCACAGTATCAACTAAGCAGGACTCGTAGGGGCCCACAGACTGAGCTGACAAGCACGTATGTTACGGCTGTGTAGTTTGGTCAGGGGAAGGCTGTCCCTGACCCCTTTGGCTGCTTTTGGAGCCCTTTCCCTGCTACTGGCTTGTCCCATGCAGCCTAAACATGCGGGGAGGTGCCTAGTCTTACTGCGACCTGTTATGCCAAGTTTGGCTGATATTCCTGGGAAGCCTGCCCTTTTTAGACAGGAAATGGAGGAGTGCCCTGGGAGGAAAGGGGAGGGAGTGGAGAGCGACCGAGAAGAGACGGGGTGAGGCTGCAGTATATGAAAAATAAATAAATAAAAATTCCAAGAGGAAAAAAAAAATACTTTTTTAGAAGTCTGCGAGGAGGGAGTTTCCCTAAAAGGCAATTTGGAACCAGCCTGCATGTTTCTAACCACACCTCCCCTTGACCAGCAACTCTCCTGTCAGCTAGAGAGAGGTGCTCACATAATGATGAATGTCTTCAGGGTACAGGTGTCACTGCACCAACAATTCAGTGGGGTAATTCAGAAGTAACCCAAATCGTCACCCATATTCACTAGAAAGACCTTCACGATAAACAAGGCGTGCCTAACTGTGTGGGGCTGTCACCTAGCTCCTGTCACATACCCTGGTGATGTCTGGGCTCATTTGGAAGCAAGGGGGTAGAGGCGCAAACGGAAGCCTGGGTCAGGGGTCACACCCACACTGGGGCCTCACCGTAGGTGCTCAGCAGGCTCTCAAACTGGGCCAGAAGGCCGATGGTATAGAGCTGCCGCAGGAAGCCATCATCGTGCAGGCAGTTCCTCAGCTTGATGATGAAGCCGCAGATGAGGGCCGTCAGCTGTGGAAGGCATGGAGCGTACAACAGGCGTTTTTACCCCAAGCAGTAACCAGCACATGCCCGGGTCCCTTTGTTTCCAGGAACACCAGCAGCAGCTCTTATCCCTCGGGGACAGGCTAGGGGCCAGGACCACAGTGATCAAAGGCTATGGGAAGGGTGGTACACACGGGCTTGCAGCACCTGTCAAAGATGAGCTTGGTTTGGGCTCAGCTTCTGACATGCCCTGCTTGGAGTTGTTACTCTATTGGGAATCAATTCCCAATAGAGAGAGGGTTAACTACTCAGAGCCCCAGCAACCGGGCCTGGGAACAAGGGGGAATGCAGCTGCCTGGTTTCCTTAGGGAAGTTTTCTGTGGGACCAACCAGGCTTCCCAGCATGGGGGGGGGGACTAGGGCACCAGCCCCTACCAAGCTACTCACATCATTACTTCTGGTACTGCATCTTTTAACTTGGGAGAGTCATCTCAACTCATCCCTGAGTGGTAACTGAAATCTTTACATGGAGCCCTGTGAACCTGAAGCCACAGAACTTGAGTGCCTGCTGTTTCAACTGCACTGACAAGCCCCCATGAGACCCTCCATCACACCCCTTGTGGAGAGAAGGAAGAAGGTGACAGAGAGGCCTTTGCCATTGTCCTGCTTGGTGCTGGGCTCTCCTGTCAGAGCTGGCTCTTCAGGAGGAACACATACTCATCAACGAGGCCTCCTTTCCAGGTCTCTCTACTAAGTGAGCCACAGGCTGGGGAAACAAGGCCCCAAGTAAAGGGGAGGGCAGGGCCGCCTGCGTGTTCCCTCTAGCGCGGGAGGTGCCCTCCCGTCCGTGTGCCGGCGGCTTACGGTTTGGCAGAAGACGACGTCCCGGCGGTATTGCAGGCTCAGGTAGGAGGCAATGGTGGGGGCACTGTCCTGCATGAGCAGGAAGACCATGGCCTTCTTGGCTTTGTCGCTCATCATGGCCACACAGTCTGTGAGGGTGGTCAGCAGAGGATAAAGGGCCTCACTCCATTCACCTGTGCACGAGTCAAGAGCTTGTTAGAATTCCAAAGAAAGGCTGCGAGAAGCAAGTCCTGTACGGCAGCAAGCCACCCACCCTAACCACTGCCCCCCCTTCCTCGCGCACCCCGGCCCCTCTGCACCTGACCCTGCTCGCCCCTCTGTGTGGCCTGGAGGAGAGCCGGTTCTGCTCCGACCCTCTGCCCGCGTTTGCTGCAGCAAGCTAAAGCGGTCCTAGTGTGGTGCCAATCACACAGACCGGAGACCGGAAAACGGCTAGGGTCCCCTTCCTCAATAGACAAGGCTATGGCTGCCGAAGACAACGGCAGCAACAGAAGCTTCTGCGGGGCATGACGTGGCCACAAGCATTCTGTGTGCAACAAGAGCCATCTATCGCCTTGTGCAGTGTGGTGGTCCCTATAACCCACACGGGACACCCACAGGCACGTCATGGCCCTTCTTACAGAAAAGTGCCAACTCTGCTCCTGCCAGCCCCTCTGTACTCACTCTGTTCCTCAACCCCTCCCCCGCCGGGTGTGCACTATTGCCAGCCTAGTGTTCTTTCAGAGATGTAAGGGACTTTGACCCTGTACCAAAGGGTGAACCTCGGGGGGAAGAGCAGGGTTAGCGGCAGCTCTGGCTCTGCCTGTCTCCTTCCTTCTTAGAAGACATCAAAAAGACATGCCATGCCCAAAATTAGGCACCAGCACATCCCTACGAGGGGAGGGAAGCCAGCACTCCAAACAAGCTCAGGCAGTGCCCATCCTGGGGGACAGAGCGCACACACAGAGCCCGAAGACCCTCCAGGGAGGGAGACTTGCTCTGCCCCTTCTCCCTCCGGCTAGCACTGTAACTGCACAGACGTGTGCAGGAACTTGCCCACACTCAGTGACAGGCCAGTGTGGATAAGGCACACACAACAGTCCAGGGCTGGAAATGATCTAACTGGAGTTATGTCTCAACAGAAAAAAAAAAAAAAGCCTAAATTTAGACTCCAAAGCAGAAAGGTCTGAGCAAACATGACACAGTGACAAAAACCACTGGACTGAGAAGTGGAAAATATGAGTCCCGTGCCTGGCCACTGAGCAGTGGCGAACACAGGCCAGGCCCTGGACCCCTCAGCATGTGGTCTAGACAGATTCCCAGACCTCAGTTTCCCGCTGAACTCCTCAGAAACCATGTTCCCCTTTCTGTGAAGAACTCCGTCAACAGAGTCTATCAAAGATGGTCGGTGACAACTAGAGAATATATCTAACCACTTGAGAGTGGGACAGTCAGATGAAACCTTCACAAACCAGCTATGCTAGTGCACGCCTATAGTTCCAGAGCCTGGGAGGCTGGGGCTGGAGGGTAACAAGTTCAAGGCTAGTTCGGACTGCATGCTAATATCCAACGTCAAAAAATAAAAGCAACCAAGCTCCCTCAGCTCCCCAAATACTGCTCTTCAGTAAGAACTGAAATGCTTAGATCAAACACTGTCATTTCCCTTGCCCAGTTACCACACATATACAACTCACAGGACAATCATGGCCATTTTAACCAGAAGCCAATCAGAGTACCCAGCTGTTTCAGCCGAGTCAAGCCTCCCCAACATGACCTTTTCACTGTAACTTTCTCAGAAATGAAATTCAGGTAGGACTGGAAAATGGGTGCCATGATACTGCACGGGGACAAGTGTGGCATCTTCCCATACGGCATCAGGTAAGTCTGAATGGCTGGAGTTTGGTGAGGGCACCGACCGCCATTCCAGCATTCTAAGACCAAACACAATGGGCACCTGTGTATGTCTGACTCTCAAGCCATTATCTTAGCAGTCAGCCTGGGTCTACTGGGAAGAGAGCAGGAGTTAGGGGGTGGGTAATGGGTGTTTTGAGTATGAACAGAAACTCACAATTAAAAAAAAAAAATCCCAAACCAAACTGGTTTCTGTGGCAGCAGAGGGTATCTACCCACTGCTGTCTAATAAAAACGGCTGGGATGTTGACGTTGGTAAAAAAGGTTTTCAATGTGCTACCTCTAAATGAAAGACTACCACTACCACTTATTATTACTATTATTGTTACTATGTTTTATTTTTAAATCAGGTCAACTAGGCAATGCCCTAAGTGCTGCAGACGTTCCACTTTTTGGGGGTAAATTCCTCAGTACCTGCTAACCTGTGACGCTTGCTGCCTGGACAATCTATGGTCCATACTACTTCAGAAAACTTCAAGTGTGCTCCCAATCTACAGTCTGACTTTGCTTTTTTATCTTTTTAATTAATCCATCAGTATGAACAGGGAATGAGGGTGCATATATGTCTGTATATTTGTGTGATTTTATGTGTATGTAGTATATGAATGTATGTGCTCATGTGTAGGTGTGTGCATCCATGTGGGAAGACTAGAAGTTAATGTCTAATGTCTTCTTTTATGGCTCCCATCTTACTTTTTCGGATAAGGCCTCTCAGTGACCTGGATGCTCACCAGCTGGCCGACCTCCTGGCCAGCCAGCCAGCTCTGGGGACCAGGGCTGGGATTGCAGGCATGCTCTGCCACTCCTGGCATTCCACCTGGGTGCTGGGGATCTGATGCCAGATCCTCACCATTACACAGCAAGCACTTTACCCATCAAACAAACTCTCCAGCCTCTGACCCCTGGCAGGGAACCATCTTTGTCCATTCAACATTAACCATGGACAAGCCGCCAGGGTTCCTAAGTGGTGGAAGAGCTCTGTAAGTCACAAAGAAACCGGAGTGTGGAAGAGTCCCCGAGGTCCTGTCACAGGCTCACAGGCCACCCCTTCTGGTCCTCAGTGCTGGCCATGGCCCACACTTGCAGTCAAGAAGAGAGCAAGGTTAATAACTGTGATTTACTAAGGCCTAACGACCCTGAGGGCTCATTCATGACATCGGGCTCTAAGACCCATGCAAGGGCCCTGACACTTGGGGGAAAGAACAATACAGGCCCTGAAAGCAAACGGAGCGTACAATGAGGTGGCCACAGTAAGTGGGCTCATGGCTCTGTGTCAGAGCGCAGAAATGGACCCACAAATCCTTGCCCATCATTCGCTGTACTCTAGATGTAGAGCGGGTATCTTTCCATCTTAGATGTACTCAGAAATATGCAATCATTGGCCTGACCATATAGCTGATTTTTTTTTTTAGAGTAAAAAAATGTTTTGGGGAATAGGTGTGCATGCACACTGTGAGGAAAACCACAAGCCATATACAGGAAGCTCAGTAGGAACTAGATCAGGGGTTGGCACACCCTATAATAGTCTTTATAGACTAGGAGGGCAACGGAGTGTCTGCACTAACTCAAAACAATAGGTGGTAGACAACAAAATACTATAAATGCAGGCTGTGGCCAGGATTTAGCTCAAGACCGCACGCAGTTCGCCAATGCCTGAACTACAACCGAGGACATTAGGTGCTCCATGAAAATGGAGCAGAAAGATAGATGCCTGGAAGAGTTCTAAAGCTTCGTCCAGAGGATGCGAACCATCCACCTGTGCCTTTACAGCTCCATGCAGACATTAGGTTGGACATCCTGAAATAGTCACAAACACATAACTTTCTAAATCAGATCACCCGCCACGGGACCCAGGGCACTCAGAGTACATCATGTGAGAAGGCTTTAAGGATGCAGAGGGAAACACGGTGTGTCCAGCAGCCTGCGTCAGGCCACAATTCCCTTAGTCCCACAGGTCCCTCACCAAACCACAGAACAAAGGAAACCTAAAGTATTTTCCCAACTATGGGAGCACAAAACAATCTTAGGTAAGTGAGCTACAAGCACTACCTGAATACTGAAAAGACACCAGCAGGAGCCTTGAACAGAAAGCACGTACCTGGACTGGACTCTTCAGGAGGGGGGCTGCAATCTGCACAGAAATGGAGGGCAACAGGGATGATTAAGGAGCAGCACACAGTTCAAACATGAGCAACTCAGCTTCAGAGCCACTGCATCAGCAGCTGGCAGCAAGGAGGTAAACACATGGAGAAGAGGCCTGGGCTCAGGCGCCTCTTACTCGGTTTCCCAAGGGCATTGCTGCTGCCACGAGCAGCTGAGCCCTCAGTGGTGAACAACGGTGATTCACCAGAGTCAACATAACATCTATGTTGCTAACGCTTCAACATAAAATGTTCTTCAAGATGAGTGAACCAACATACACAATGCCACGGACGACACGATGATGGGCAGGGATGGAGACCCACGTTAGTTTACATCAAATGAGAGAGACCCCTGCCTGCCTTTCCGAAGAATCCAGAGTTCCAATGATAAAACCAGTTATACCAAAAGAACCCTATGCCAGTTGTTAAAGTCTAATTAAACTAAATGTAAACGCTGTATGATTCTGGAGATGGCTCCAAATTAGGAAACTATTCCAGTTAGGCCTTCCCCCACCCCAGCTACCCCGTCCCCCAGCTACCCCGCCCCCCCAGCTACCCCACCCCCCCAGCTCTTCAAAGAATACCAACTTTGACTCTAGTTCATTTTTGCTGAGTCTTACTGGGATGAACTCATTTTAATTTCACATTCCCCTTAATAAAAGCTAAAATTCCTAGTTAAATGGATGTGGTACCTAAGAAAGGCGTCTAAGGAATAACACTGGATTTCAGTTCAAAAGACGTCTGTGAGAAACTGAAATGAGAAGCTTCAGATTCTCAGACTAGCCAGAGTGAGTTTTGGGGTGTCTGGGGGGTCAGGAGGAGTTCTGCCTCTGTTGTGTTTGGACATGACTTCTTAAACTGACAAGAGGAAAAGAAAATGCAAGGCTTTCTGAGGCTGAAGTGCTCAGCCTCTTTGGTCAGGGTTCAAACCCTGAGAATAGCTGGCTAAGACAGGAACGCTCATCGGTGTGAAACTATGTGGTCAGTGATTTTTTTTTTTTTTTTTTTTTTTTTTTTAACATCTGGCTAATGAGAATAATCCCAAGCCTTGAAAAGCCACATGTTTTTACGTATATCTGCTTATTTTTGCCACTCCATAACCTCTCCTCCAGGACCCACAGTCACGAATGAGGAGGGGGGTTTAGAATCCTGCTTTAAGAATGTCTGTGGTGGCTTCTAATAGCAGGGTGGGAACACCCCTGTGAGAGTTTACCCAGGGAAAGAGAAAGGAGGCTCCTCTCAGATCAGAGGCTCCTAACCGGTCTGAGGTCACGGAGCCCTTTGAGGGTTGATGACCACTATGGACTCTCTCCCTATTCACTTGAAATTTTCAGCATGTGATCTCAGGAGTGCAGGAGGCTGGGCACAGATCCCAGACCAACAACTCAGTAGGTGATGTTAGGGTTACGCGTGGTTGGGGTACACATAGATCCTGGGTTAACAATTCAGCAATTGGCCGCTGGCAAACCCACAGGACATTTTCTTAATTAGGGATTGATATGGGAGGGCCCAGCCCACTCTGGGTGGTGCTATCCCTGGGCCGTGTAAGAAAGCAGGCTGAACAAGCCAGTAAGCAGCGCTCCTCCATGGCCTCTGCAGCAGCTCCTGCCTCTGGGTTCCGCTTGAGTCCCTGCCATGACCTCCCTGGATGATAAACTACAAGCTGTAAAAGCTCAAACAAACCTTTTCCTCCCCAAGGTGCTTTTGGTCATGGTGTTTTATCATAGCAATAAAAACCCTAACGAGGACAAGAACCACAGACAAGTGAGTCACAAAGACAAACAGCCTGATCACACAACACACTAGCTCCTAAATTTTAAAATATCTAACCATTTTCTTCTGCATCTGCAGAAAATACTTAGGGTTACAAACAAAATTGTATGTATTTCTTCTTCAGTCCTGAAGTAGTCTCACTCATACACAGAGGCAGGTGATGCACACTTAACTATATTCCTAGTCCTACAGACAAGCTAACATTAAAGAGAAGTAAGTAATGAACTTTGAGAAAAAAATTAAACAGGAAAATGAGAACAAAACAGACACAAGCTGGTTTGATGAATGATGGGTCACAGGCTTGGAAAGGTGGCAGCTGTAGCCCCCACCCCGACAGAAAAGCAGATGATTGGGACAGTGCCCTTAAACAACGCAGACAGATGAGAGGCGATACACAACACTTGAAGGACTTATCAAGAGACTCTGGTAAAGGTGCATGAGTCTGCCTTCAATGGCACTGTCTAGTGAGAATTGCAGAGGCCTCATCACATGAACCCCAATTCTGACATCTTGGCTGCCCTTACTGTAGCTTAAAGCTCCCCACGGAGAGGGGGGAGGGGGCCGAAGCTGGGTGCGCAGCCTGGGCTCAGATGAGTTGACCCAAGGGTTCTCCAGCTCTTACAAAGGAGAGAGAGGCACCACAGAGGAGGGACCAAGGGCCCACTTGTTTTCAGACACTTGAGCCCTTAGCCCTCTGCTATCCCTGTGTCCCTTTCTGAAGTATTGCACCCAAGATCCCCTCAAAGACCGGCGTCAAACAGGTCAGTCTAACTCATCTGACTGAGTTACAAGAGGCTGCATGCTTCTGCTGGATAAGAGCATGCCCAGCCAATGAGAAGAGCCCGTGAGGCCTAAGTGCTGCTCGTCCAGCATTGCTCCTATAAAATCAGTCTACCCATCCCCAACACAACAAAGACCACACACAGAAAGCCTGCATCCATCCCCTTCAGCTTCTCAGGCTGGCTCACAAACCTGAAGACTTCACAGCCATGACACTGTGGCCCCGGTGCAGATTCAGTGGCCCCAGCTGTATAGAAGGCCAGCAGGGGCCTCCACGCTGCCTATCTGCGGCTCTATGCAGGACTCCCCCTGACACCCTGCGCTGCCTGAAAGCCCTCCCTGCAGCCTGCCTGAGAGAGGCAGGCATGGAGTCAGAGACACAGACACATAGAAGTAATGAGGCACAAGTCGAGGCGGTGTGGGAAGCGTGGATGCATACGCACGTGTGCTTGGGTGAGGATGGCATGCAGCAGTGGGCATGGAGGAGGGGCATGTCGCCGAGGGGGCGTCACAGAAGGGGTCCTCCGGTCTGATCCAGTAGGCTTGGCTGTTCCGGTTACCTTTCTTGCTGGAGCAGGTGCTTGAACAGGGGAAAACGTCCTCACAACCCTCCTCATGAAGACGCTCCTTCTGCAGCAGCTTATCCACGCGCTGGATGATGCACTCCAGGCTCTTGTCCACGTTCAGCCACACTTTCTCCTTCAAACCAGTAAGACTGTTTGGGTCAGTTTGTGCAACAGAAAAACAAGGACAGAGCACACCCTACTTCGCCTCTCTCCGGGTCCCAGCCTGAGGACGTGCGTGCGTGCGTGCGTGCGTCTAAGTCACCACTGAAGTCGCATGTGCCTTTCAAAGGCAATTTGCAGCTTGTGGTCACTGACTGGAAAGTTTGGCAGGCATTCGCCGTCTACTCTAGGGAGGACGGATAGCCTTCCGGTCTCACCCGACAGGCCACAGGGCACTAAGAACTCAGGCCCTTTCCCCCTTCCACTGCAGGCCACCTACAAACATCACATGCTGAGGTCCCCTTCTGACGCACAGGACTGCAAACAGCTGGTGGCAGGGGTGGGCGATGGGAGGAGGGGAGGGCAGGCTGGAAGCGAGCTGGGAAACCCACGCAGACCACAGGCTACCAGCGCTGGAGGGACACTTTGCTGCTAATTAATAATTCAGTGCTTTGCAGGATCCCTTGAGCAGTAGCCCCAACAAATGACAACCAGTGTTGGGATGTGTCCCTTCCTAAAGACAGCGATGCAGCCCTCTGGCCAACTCTGGAACAATGAAGTGACATGTCAGGGCACTGAACATAAAGAGCCCCAAAGGGTAAAGGATGAGCAGAGGGCTGAGGAAGAGGAGCGGCCTGGTCCCCAGCACAGTCATGTACAATTCACACCCCTGTGGTCTGAAGACGGCCTACGTCTCAGCATCAAGTGGCCTAGAGCACCGGGGAAGCAGACCTGCGGCTTGCTAACCAAGGTGCAGCCTTTGGCACTTTGTGGAGGAAGGCAGCAGCAGCAGCAGCAGCAGGACTCACCCACTCCTCCTCATGCCAGTCCACCTGCAGGGAAGATCGGCTGCTCCTCCCTGCCCACCGGGCCATCAGGGTATCCTGGTCATTCCGTAGCATCACCTGCTCCTCCTCGGTCGAGGTAGGGGAGGCCTTGGAAGCGATGTAGTCAGGCCGCGCCGCATTCAGTCCATGGATGGAGTTGGCCAGCAGCTTACAGTCACACACAGTGACCAACTGCCGGGTCTGCAGGCACACACACACACACACACAGCAGACTGCTCAGCACTCCTTCTCCTGGAGAAGCAGACAGCCTAAGACAAGGCTTCTGCCACCCACCCTGTCCCACAGAGATACAGCATGGCCTTCTCTAGGGGATCTGAAAATAAAGGAGCATGTGACCTGGCAGGGATAACCTCGGCAAGAATTTCCAGGTAAGACTAGCGGACAGGGGTCTGCTCGAGATCTGTTTATCCTAGAGGTGGTCAAGGAAGAAGCGAAGGGTCTGAGACCATTGGACATTTCCTGGCTCTGTCTGCCTTTGACCCTAGCTCACTAGAGAAAGGGCTTATACTCCAGGCTTGACAACACGGTGGAGTGTGTCCCAGGCTCCCAGGGGCCAATGCCCACAGGTCACATACTACTTTTGTGTAACCATAGAGCAGTTTTAACGCTCCAGGCTCTGGACTACTGAACTGCTGCCGTCACACTTCTAATCCTGGTTTTACTGCTGACAACCAGAACTTCCTTTCCCAGTGGCCCTGGTACGGCTCCTACCCGGCAAATCAGGTGTGGGTGGAGAGGTGTCACCAGAGTCTGTGTGAAGGGAAGGAGCCTGGGTAATGGGCAAGAGTAGCATCAATCAGAGACCGAGAGAGCCGCGCTCTAGCATGCAGACTTCTAATCAGGGTTCAATTATGGTTAAACAGAACCCTTTAAAATTCATTCTATATCGGCCAATAAGATTATATCGTTCATTTCTTATGTGTGAATAATTGCTGCACAGGTTATGACTGGAAGGCACTAAGGAAGCTGGCGTGTGTAACGAGTCCCAAGAAAATGGATGCAGATTGCTAGAAGACACAGCAGCACACTGGCCTCAAGCCTCACCCGAGAGTCACAGCCTGAGCTCTGACCATGGGCAGATCCCAAACTTCCCTGTGACTTGGGTGACTTGGTGGGAAGTAGCCCTTCTCTTAAGGTCAGCTCCAGGCATCCCTGGGTGGTCTGGAAGCTTCCAGAAACCCAAAGGATCCCTCCACCCCACATGCAACTGGGCAGCCCCTCCTACCTTGTCTGCCAAGATGGCGAGTGTCCTCTCAAGGCCAGTGGCAGACCTGTCCTTGGCTGCCCTGGAGAGCCGTTCTGCGTAGTAGCTAACTTGGGTTTTCAGGGTGTTGATCTGGGCAATAATCTCCTTGGCTCGGATGATGTCCTGTGGTATGTAGATTATGGACTGGCAGCTAGATGATGTACTAAAAGGAACAACAGGTCCTAAGGGGTTCTCCAAAATCATTCAGCCCACCCACAACTAACCCTAAAATAAAGATGTGTCCTCCTGTGAAGCTCAGTTACTGAAGGGTAAAGGTCAAGCTTGGGAGATCTTTTTTATCTAAATAGAAGTATAAAATATATATAGAAGACTAAGACTTTTAGTATACTTGTACATATATGTGTCTGTATATTTACTACAAGCATGAACATGTCTATAAATACATTGGAATATCACTGTTATAACTACCCAATGCTGGGATCTTGCCTAGGAATTTCATCTATTCATCTCAGTAGAGATCTGGGGTCTGCTTACACCAGAAAGGATCAAATTTACCACACTGCAATCGATGTTGGACTATACATTAAAACAAACAAAGCAAAAAACTTAAGAACCAAAAAGTATACCCTAACATTTGCTTCTTCATTCGGCCACCAGGGCCTTGAGACTTCCTGTGAGCAAACCCACATCTTTCTCTCACATATTCCACAACAAGGCCCCAACACTGGGATTCCTCTCTCTCTCTCCTGTTTCAGGGTGTCCTTATGTTGACAACAGCATTCCTTACGAGAAAGTAGAGAGCTTGCCAACCAGAGGCGGGCCCAACGCCTCAATGCCTGAAACCTCAGTCCTTCCTTCCTGTCCCCCATCACCACGCAGCATATGTATACGGGAAGGAGATGTCAAAGGCCAGGCCAGCTGCTGCCCCGTGTAAGCAGGAGCCTTTGAGGGACCAACTCCATATGCCCAGGCTTCATGGGTGGGGTCAGCATGTGTGGTCATCCAAAATGGCAACCATAAGCTTATGTCTGTTAGATGAGGCCTCAATCAATCAAACATTATTAATTTGTTTCTAGGTCATCTGAGGGTGCCTGAGAAACTAAGGAGGGGACATGAAAGTCACCCGTGCAGTGGCCTCCTAGGATGAGAGGACACTGAGCTCAGGACAGAACTGGTCCCTTTGCTTCTGAAATAAAGGGCTGTCCTTGGGTTCCAGGGATGGGGGCAACATGGAGAGCAGAGTATGGGCCTCACCACACCCTACCCCACTTGTGGATTTGAGAGTCACCCCAGACCTTTCCAGGGAGGAAGGACCAAAAGCAAGTCAGAAAGAAACCACCACGGCCTTTTCTCTTTCCGGACTACGTGGCCAACATGCAAACACCACAAAGCAAACTGCCCCAGAAGGAAACACCACCAGCACAGGCCCACACACCACAAGGGACAATGACGGGTTTGCCAGAAGCCCATGCAGCAGACGGTGAGTGTGCAACACTGCATTCCACAGCCCTGCGCAGGAGCTGCTTCCAACCTGCAATCTCTCCCGAATGAATAGCTGCCACTCGGACAGTCAGGTCTTAGAAATACATTCCAAAAAAGAATTAAAACTGCAGTCTGTTCTTTCTGGACCTCGACCTTTAGAGGCACAGGCGCTATGTGTTATGTGTGTGGGTCTACTGTCTCGTTAGCCCATGGTTGTGCATGCTCTGACAGGTGGACATCACCCCACTCACCCTGTGCTCTAAGGAGAAGGCATGCTACAGCAACATGCCCACGACTGACACGTGGAAGCATGTGGTGAAGGCTCAGATGGGCAGGTTCAAAGAACTGACACCAGGAATACGTAAATGCACGTACTTAGTTAGCTCCAAACTCAGGAGCCACTCCATGGCAATGGGGTGGGGTGCAGAGGCTCTACTGCCTTGTCCTGGGGCGGGGACGGGGGGGGGGAGGAGAGAATCTCTGTTCTACTCATTATCTGGGTCCCCAGCTCTTCTCCAATAGCCACAGGAGGCAATGGCCCAGAAGTGATCCTCGGGTCTCATGTTAAACGCTACCCCAGGCCTGCTGACACACACCGCCTGTCATTGTAGGCCATGGTTTAAACACAGAAGGCCTGTAAGCCTAAGTGGAGTACCTAACATGCAGAGTAACCCCGAATATGAAGGGGAAGGCTGTCAGTGCCCCGCCCCCCAAAGGTTTCCATGTCTCCTTGCTCCCAGGGGAAGGTGTCTTAGAAATGCTTGGTACCCTGGGAGAAGGGAGTCAGAGGGTGGGAGCGGCCATGAGCAGGCAAGCACTTCCTGAGGTGTGGAAGGTCTAGAGTCTTCCGTTAAGAAGGAACCTGAAGAGCCCTCCCGAATAAACCGCCTGAGTTAGAACCCGCCAAGCGGAAGTGGAGCCCCTGGACGCCATGTTACGCTTCACTGCTAATCCCTCAGGCCCTCCGGGATTTGACTCCCCCTGCTATGGAGAAGTCCCGGGCGGGCGGGAAAGGGACAGAGGCTTTGAGGGGACACTTCTATGACACACCCCTCCCACATGCCTTCTTCCCTCCCTCAGGATGCCAGGGAAGGGCCCCCAAGGGAAAACGGGGGATGCCCCATCTTAGGTGTGCTTGTGTGTCCTCAGGACTGGAGGCCACCGTGTTCCCAGCGTCTCAACTAGGATCTAGGTCATGGGCCATCAGATCAAGGTGGCAGCATTTCCCATAGGGCGGTTGGTTTCCCAGGCCCCTGGCTCCCGCCCAGGTCTCTGGGCTCCTGTGCTGCTGTCCAGTGGGTAAAACTGCCCTTAACAACACCATCATTAACATCAGCACAAACTGGCAAGTATTATGACCACGTAAACTGGCTCCGTCAGACCAGGGAAAGGCGAAAACTCAAAGGCTTCAAATTCTCGGAAAAGAAGGACTGAACTGGACCTGAGGTCACAGATCTGTAACCCCAGCTACTAAAGGCTGAGGCAGGAGGATTACAAGTTTGAGAAAAACTTTGGCTGCAGGGCAACTTCAAGGCCAGCTTGGGTGAACTTGGTGAGCCCTATCTTAAAAGACACTTTAAATGGTTAGGGTGGAGCACAGCGATTAAGCTTTGCCTACAAACAAAGAAAAGGTTCTCAATGGCGTTGGATCAACGAGATGGCTCACTGGGTAAAAATGTGGGCTGTTGTGATACCCCAGCACCCAGGGCCCCAAAAGGGCTCTTCTGTGCCCTGGGAGGAGGCAAACTGGGCCCTGTCTGTTGAGTGCAGGTTTGAAAGGAAGGCTGTATGTAGGGCATAGGCTGGCTATTCATTATCGAAGAACATTGCAGTTGGAAGGAAGAGCTCTGCCTATAAGGACACGTGACTTGGAGCCACGCAGCCAATGGGATGGAGCCACCCCGGATGAAGGACAGCACAGGCTTTCTCTGCAAAAGAGCAAGAACCAACATACACTCTCCACAGGCAGAAAACTCACCAACACTCTTCAAAACTGCTACAGAAAAAACAAAAACAAAAACAAAAAATCAAAAACCAAGCATTAGCAATTGTTAGCAAAATACTAAAGGCAAAACAAAATTTAAAGGCTGACTGATTTTCCTTTTTTCAAATTACTTAGAGGCAATTGTTGAGGCCGTGAATATGGGGATAAACAAACTTATGAGTCAAATTCTTATTCCCTGGAGCAAGTTTGTGGCCTGTACTCCAGCCCCAGGGACATCCCACTGGGACACAAAGCATCCACATTTAAAGGGAAGCTCCAAGAGCCCAAACTGTCAGAAAGTGGACTCAGGACATTAGTACAAAGTTAACATAAAATCTGTAGTATGTATTTCAAAGGCACTGGGACAGTAAGTTCTGAAGCTAAAATGTAAAGTCAAAACTGCAACCTGGTAGGGACAAGGGACAGCCAGGTGTCCCCTCCCGACTGGTCACCTCTCCCAGGGAAGCACACCCCCTCAGCTCATACACTCACTCTTCCCACACAGCACCAGGCGATGGAGTGACACACCCGCTTCCCGCTGGCTGCACACAACTGATAGCCCCTGGCCCTGCACCCCCTCTACTCCCTAGGACATTGTGGACATGATGGCCTGCCAGTCCGCCTGCATGGTAGGAAGTAATCAAGGCCGCCTGAAGGCTTCACTGGAACGCTGAAACGGTCTTGCTAAGCCCGGTGTTTCCATGCTTCTCCTCCCCATATCCAGGGCTGGTCCACACACACCCGAAGGACAACCTCTCTGAGAATGTCCTTTGTTGCTCCCTGCTCAGTCCTCAGCATCACCCACGTTAGTGGCCCCCTGTCTTCCTGACTCTAATGGCCCTGATGAGCCACTGTTCTAACATGTGTAGCATCCTGACCCAGCCATGCAAGCACCCTTACTCTGGCCACAGCAGGAGAACGGGGCGATGACCATTTAACCCCATTTTTGTTAGCAACTTCCTCGCCTGCCTCTACCTGCCACCATGTGGGTGTCTGGGGGCTCCATGACCTTTGTTTCACGCCTCTCAAACCACCCTACACTCAAGGTCACATCTGCAGGGGCATTCCAGTAACACTGTCTTCCTCCCTCTCACCTTAACAACTCTTGCTAACCCGCCCGATACTTTGCCCCTTCTGGGATAACCGCCTGGCCCTGCCTCTCTGCTCTCTCTACCCCACGTTACACTCATGTATGGTCCACAGTGGCCAAAACACGTTCCGACCATAATTAGTCTCCTGAAACGGAGACCTTTACGGTACCCCCTCCCCCCATCTACCCAGGGGCTTCACAAGGGCATCACTCACTCCTATCATGTGTTCCTCTCACCAACGCTCTGGGCCACTCAAATTTTACCAGGTGACATTTTGGAAGATACCCACGGAATGCTTCATCTGAGAAGCCTTTCCTCACACCCTGCCTCTCTGGCAGTGTCCTGCTAGGGACAGAACAGGGCAACCCCCAGCATCCTTTCAACCACTACCCTTTAACAAAGGACAGAGTGCCAGGGACTCTGGGAACTCTAGAGATGAGCCCTGAAAGTATAGTCTTGTCAGAGCCTTACAAGTCTGGGGCTCCACCAACTGACAGGAGTTCTAATGAAGCTGAGAGAGCAGGAGCTGCACACAGCTGGCTGCCTAGGGCCACACTCAGGGCGGCTCTCTGTTCGCGGCTCACTTCGGGAGAGCTGGACTAATGATTTGGTACCCTCACCCCTCACTCATTCGCTCACTCAGCCGCGCGCATACACACAGTAGCACGGGGTCCCTAAGGCAGCTCCTCCAGCCACACGGAAGCAGATCAGATGGCTGCGTGTTTTTGCGATTTTGTTTTGATAATTTTAACTCACAAACATCAGACACAGCTGTACAAGGACCACGAATACCCTCCTTTACTTACTGCTTCTTGGTCTCTTCAAACTTGTGCAGCTTTTTTCGAAGACCGCCTGACTTAAACCCTTGGCAGTGTGCTGCTGGGGCTCCAATAGTGATGACGTCATAGTTCTGATCTGAGAGACACAAAGCTTTCCTCTGTTACTCTGGGATCAGGCCTGCAGACAGGCCAGCTACAGCAATACACAGCACTCTGGGACCCTTCAGCCCATACGGCTCCCTGATCCTACATCCTGAGGGTGAAGGAGGGCTTGCTGGACCCAACACTAACTATTCAGTAAGAAAGTTGATGTCTGAAGGCAGAGCCACCTGGGCTGCTAAGCGCTCACTTCCACCCCTCCTGGGAAAGGCTCAATGATGGGCAACTTCCTGCCATAAAAACAAAAGGAAGCTGGAGATACACAAGGAGGTTTGGACTCTGTAACTGAAATTCTTCAGAGGTCTGTGGGGGAGTGGGGGGGGTGAGGGGGGGGTTCTCTTGCTGCTCAGCAGTGGAGCATACAGGAAAAATGGGCCAGGTAGAGGGCAACTCAGGGACCAAGTATACAGAAATAAAGGAGTGGAACACAATTCAACAACAGGGTAAGGAAAGTGAATACCTGAGCCTCCATCATCTTGAACTCTCATCCTTTGTATGTGCAGGTTTGTAGGAACGAATTCTAACTTTTTATCTGCTTTCAAACTGCTTGCTTTAAATGAAGGACCTAAGGAATGGAACACAAGAAAACAGCCATCAACACGCACCATGCACAAGTAAGAAGGCAGTAACCTAGAGCTGCGGATTCACGGAAGCAGGTACAGCCCAACAGAGGCCTAGAATATTCCAAGTGGCCACTCAAGATGGTAAGGGACTGGCTCCAATGCTATCTGGTGAGCAGAGCCAGGGATAAGGACCTGTAGGTTATAGTAGTGATGAGGCCGACCCTCCTGTGACTCAGTTCAACTCACAGACATGACACAGACCTGATCTGGGTCAGTGCGATGCCAACACCACTACAAAATCAGCGGACCTGTCAACTCTACAGATCACTGTCATCCAAGAGCAGAGAAACTGGTCTTTCTGGAACAGCACCTCTCACCTGGAGTGATGCAAAGGGTCCATCCAGATGAGCAAGGTTTCACGGACGCCTGCCTGCCTGCCTGCCTCTCCGATACATTTCAGTAAGTTCCCTCACACATGCTTGTTGTTAGAGAGGTCAGATGATGTACGCAGTTACCACAACCTTACTTCTAGAATCAGAATCCGTAACTAGAGGAGGAATCACATATCTACCAACCAAAGGGTTACAGATCAGAATCCATAACTAAAGGAGGAATCACATGTCTACCAACCAAAGGGTTATAGATCAGAATCCATAACTAAAGGAGGAATCACATATCTACCAACCAAAGGGTTACAGATGACAATGGCAACAGGAGAATGAAGAAATAAAACATCCCACCTGGTAAGAAACAACGCATCTGACCAACAGAGCTGTGTGCTCTGCCTCGTGTCACAGGGGTCTGGTACAGTGACTGTCAGACCTGCATTGTGTCTGTCTTGCGACACTGCTAGAGATACAGCCAAGGCCTGGTTTAACTGAGGACCTCAGAATAGCGGGATGCCTCTGACATCTGAGCAGCTCTGCCCTGCTAAACTCAAGTTTGCATGGCCTCCGTGCTTTCTCGGGAGCACTCATCCAGCATGGGAAGGTGCCTCGACCCTTCAGACAATGCTGCCATCTCTCTAAGTGATGCACTTGGATTTGCTCCAGCCTGGACTGGTTCCACACACCACCATCTTGCTTGAGCTCTGATTTCCTCTTAGCTAAATTTACAGACAAGTTCTATATATTCTGTGTGAAAATCACATTAAGGTGTAAGATTTTCCTTAAACTGACAAAGGATTATATAGAAGGAAAGAAACCAAAGACAAAGAATACTTTGAAAGAAAGGAGGAAAGGGAAGGGGGAAATGCTGTAATTATATAATAATCTCAAAAATAAGATAAAAATGAATCTCCATAAAATAAGTCGTAAGAAAAAGAGTTATTTTGAAAGACTAAAACAAGAAACAAAAAAAAAAAAAAAAAAAAAAAAAAAAAAAAAAAAAAAAAAAAAAAAAACAAAAAAAAAAAAAAATCCATCCTACTCTGAACAAAAAGAAATTGGGCTAAAAAGAAATTACATAGTTTGAAAATCACAAATCATTTTCCAGAATAAACAGGTGCTTTCCTGGGCTTGACCCCAGCCTCCAGCCTGGGAGGAAGAAAACCCAAGTGGGAAGAGTTGAGGTGTCTGACTTTACTTTTCCTTCTGAGCCTTGAAATAGAGTTGCACTCTGATAACTACTCATTCAATCAAAATGACATCGAACATTTAAACTAGAAAGCTGCTTTGCTCCAGGCAGATAGACAGCCCACAGCCTTTTGGTTTGAAGCAGTGTCAGACCAAGAAGAGCCACATGAAGCAGGACAATCTGAGGCCCCCTCTGCCTTGCTTCTACCGTATTCTACAGTGGCTATTTTAGGAAATAAGGCCCTAGAAAGACTTCTTGCAATTCACCAATTCATCATTTTAATTAAGACCTGAAAACCCCAGAGTTGAAATAATTCACACCTACGTGCGACTCTATTTTCAAAAACCCACTCAAGACAATCAGTGAGAGTCTGAGCATCCCAGGCCTTCAAATATCTGGTTGGGAGCTTGGGATATGCGTGCACCTTGGGAGGACAGGGCCACACCCACCTTTGTACTGATGGAGGTCGGTCAGATTCTCCTGGTAAGTGAGGATGATAGTTTGATACTGGGTGACAATTTGCCGCCGGAGGCTCTCCCAGCAAGGGGACAGCTCCCCCAACTCTTCCAGCTCACATACTCTGTAAACAAGACACACAAATGAGGCCATAGGGCTGACTCACCTCCCTCGGAACTGTGACGGGAACACACAGCAATGCTGCTCTGTGGGCCAGGCCAGCAGTTACACTGTGGCTCGAAAGGGTGATCACGCGGCCACACAGGCTGGTGTGAGAGATCACGGAGCACACGGGAAGCACATGGAGAAACTTAATAGGAACTCAGGTAAATGCTCAAGGCCACCAGTGGGTGTGGGGAGAGGAAAGCAGCAGGTAAGGAGCAGCTCTGCCTGGTGACCTTGCGGGTACCACTCGGGCACTGGCATAGTTCTCTGCAGGATGATGACACTCAACAACAACAGAAGGGCAGGGGATGTGAGAAACCACTCCCCTGCTCACCCTCACTCTAACAACCCCCTTTCCATGCCAAGCACACAGCAACAGTCTCACACTTCTTTCTGAGTGCCCTTGCTGCCCGCACTGAGTCGCTGCCGACAACTAAACTGGCTCTAAAGCTCCTGCCCAAGGGAGGGCTCTTTCAACCAGTAATGCACAGTGAGACAGAAAGCAGGCAACAATAAAAACCACAGCTCGAGAGCGGGGGAGGTAAAGGTGCTTGCTGCTAAGCCTGCCGGCCTGGGTTAGAACCCTAGGAGCCATGTGGTGAGAGGAGAGAACCCAGTCCACAAAGCTGTCCCCTGACCTCCGTATGACTCCATGGCGCATACGCCCCAGCCCGAGTGGTGAAAATTAAAACATAAAAACTGAAGATGAACAGAGAAACTGATTACAGCTACACAAATATGTATAAAGAGCAACTGTAAGTTAAAATTATGATACAAATACGTACATAAACAGGACACAACAGGAAAATAGTAGCTTGTAAAATTTAGATGATAGGTTTATGGCACTCACTGTACTCTTGCTATTTTTCCCAAAATTTTCAGGGTGAAAACGCAAACATCTGTACTAGGATATTGGGACGCAAACATCTGTACTAGGATATTGGGACTCTGGTTACAGGTATTGATGAATAACACTGACCTAGAAAAAGGTGTGGAGGCCACAGTCCAAGACAGACAGGAAATAGCCTCACCCTTACTTGGAACTGAAAAATATGCCCCAGGATGAGAGCTTTGCTCTGTGGCAGGAGACTACCCTGAAGGATCATCTTCTGAGTCATTATCTCTGTGGTCCCCAACAGGACAAACGAGAGGAAAGAGAGACACAAAGGGAAGATGGGCTGATGTTAGCCACGCCCAGCAATCTGTGAGACCGAGGAGCAAACTCAGGCTTTGGAAGGTCAGGGCCACAAAGGCAGCTGGAGGTACAGCCTGGGTCTGCACTTGCCTGTCCAAGGCATGTGCATATGACATGGGTGGTAAGCATTCATCCATGTGGCCTCACCTGGCTGCGTCTTCTTCCAGCAGTAGCTTCACAAACTGCCGAGGCACGTGCAGGGAGAGGACGCTCTCCGCCATCTGTTCCAGGATACGTAGGTGGTTGCCATCAGTGGTTGGGAACCGGTACATGCGACAGATGGCACCCCCAAACACTGCGGTGGGAACACAAGGAGGCAGACTGTGAGTGAAGGGCTGCAGACCTGGCTGTGGTCCCCCTACTCAGGCCCTCAGTCACCCTCAAGCCCCGATTTCCCCAAGAAAGCGAACGAGCAAGCAAAAGCTACGAGAAACAAACCCACTTACACCAAGCCCTGGAAGTGACCGCCCCTGACATCCCTCTCTATGCCAGAAGGCGCATGTAGCTCTCAGGTGTAAGGAGCTGTGGCCGCAACACTGTCAGTCACCCCAGCCAGTGCCATGTAAGAGTAGAAGGGGCCCCTTCCTCAAGGGATCACTGACTACGTGCTGTGGGAAACGCTGTCCTGAAGACTGGGCCATGTCTGTGGCCATCTCGGTGAGGCTACAGTCACAGGAGAGGCCAGGTACCAACAGGAGAAGCTGCGCACCTGATTTCAGCAAGGCGTCTTTTCGCAAAGAAGCGTATTTGGACCGGATTCCCAACGCCTCAGTCAAGCTCTCATCAACGGGCAGAACCATCTGGAAACGGGTACGAAAAGCACAAGACCACTGAGACCGAGGACTCCCGAGTGCCGCAGAACTGGAGCCTGGCGCGCCACACAAGACCGGGCAGCTGGCGCACATCTGCCCAGCCAGCCACGCACACTGCGGTCCCTCCCACTCCACCTGTCAGTCATCTCATCTTGGGTTTCAGTGTCCGGGCACCAAGGATGCCCTCGGTGCTCTCCTTGACGGTGCCAGGCGCTGAAACTGGAGCTCTCATTTGGTGTCTGGGTGAGGGGCTGTGTGGGTCAGGAGGACACAGAGGGCAGGAAGGGAGGGCCCGAGAGGATGTGGGCGTGAAGGGGGGACTGGGAAAGAGTTACTACAGGGATGGAAAGAAGGGTTAGTCTCATTTCCTCCTCACTCACCCCTTCCCACTCCACCCCTACACATCTCTACCCAAGATACCCCACTCTCCACCCTGTGCCATACAAGCGGCCAGCGTGGCTCAGGGAGCAGAGGCAAGTCCCAGGTCAGCGGGGCTCTCTGTGGTAGACCTTCCGCTCCATGCGGCATCATACCCAACGAAGCCCCGAGAGTCCCGCAGAAGGCAGCTCCAACAGCAGGCCCTGCCCTTCACTGAGCACAGATGCGCATGAAAATATCCAGGGCTCCTCTAACTCCTTCCAAGAGCGATGAGAAAGGTACCCACTCACCCTCCCATTGACAGTGTCCAAGGACCGGGTCACAGGGGGCCGCTGCTCTGACTTATCCTCCATTTGCCAGCCGATCACAGTTATGTTACCTACTCGGTCACTCTCTGCAGACCTGCAGCAAACATCGTGCCTTGGTAAGCACTGGTTTGGAGGCAAAACTTAGCCACTCTGGGTCATCAGGGGCCTGGGAGGCAGCAAGGCACCATCCGGACAGGCCCTCTGACAGACTGAGCGATTCCTCTTACCTCTCCTCAGCAGACACCCCTGCCTCCCCCTAGACAGACTCTGGGAGGGCGGAGGGGCAAAACTTCAGACCCTTCCAAAGGGATAAAGCAAACACCAACCTCAGTGTCAGATGCAATCTGTGATGCCTGTCCTGGAGCAGATCTTTGACAACAAACGTTCCAGAGCCCAGTAAATACATCTGGGGGAGATGGGGAGAATCAGTGTAAGGGTACTTGGTGTCCCTCTGACCCACACACCACAGCCCAGGGAAAGTCGGTGCTTCCTGTAAACCCCCCCCCCCATGAACCCATGGCAGTGCTCAGAAGTGGATTCCCAGACAAAGGTATGCTTTCACACAGGTGGGTCCTAAGCCAGTATGAACTCAACCTTGTGCTCACACCTTGGCCGGGCTGTTGTGTGAGTCAGTGAGGGGAGGCTGCTGTGCAAACTGCACATTACTTAACTGTTCCCTGAGATCTGTCTTTGACATCGTACACAGACAGCTTGATCTGCGTCATCTGATTGATAAGGGAGTCTTGAAAGAAGGCGATGCTGCTCAGAAAGATGGGATTGTTGGTTCCCTGGAACAGAAAACAGAGTTGGATTTTATTTTAAGGAATTGGTTTTGAAGTGTCCTAACATTTTCAGAATAAGGAAATTAGCACTTTTACTGATTTCCTCAACACAGACGCTAATGACAGCACATGACAGCAAGCACAGAAGCCTGCTTTCCACAGAGGGAAACACAGCCTGACGCCTGCTTTCCACAGAGGGAAACACAGCCTGACGAGACCGCCCGCCATGAGCACAACCAACCGGCCCGCTGTAGACTCTGCGGAGGACTCGCTCCTAAGGTCCCACTCAGGAGAGGGCTTTTCTAAACCCGAAGTGAGTTTGGGTTTGACAGCCACACGCACTCTTGGAGGTACACGGTTAGGTGTGTATTTAGACCGGTAGGGCTGCCCCTGTGAGATGCCTGCATAGGCAGACAAAAGAGGAAATGGAAATGGATGGTTTCTGTAACTATTTCTAGAATCCTGGGTCTGCAGTAATTAAAACTGACCTTTTAAGAGCAGGTTCTTGTTTCTAGATCACAGGTGTGTTTTCTGGCAGCTCTGCCTCTTTGCTCCATCATACCCCCTCACTCTTTCAGCCACAGTAGCTGGGCCCTCTTAGCACCTCAGTGACGCCCCCATCCCCCACCCTCAGCAGCTTAGGTCCAGTCTCTCAGTGTCTGCTGGGCAGCCCCTCCTAGGGTCTGCTGAGCCCTCCCCTAACCTTCCCTCCATGTGCCCTGGGAAAGCAGGAGAAGGAGCTGGGACTCAGCCTTGGTGCTGAGTAGCTTTGACTAGGAGACCACACGCCCTTCCTACAAGGTCTACCTGGGGTGCCTCTTCCCCCACGCCTGCTCTTCCCACCTCTCCCTTCTGCTAAAGTCACCCTGCACCCCCAAACACCTGTCAGTCATGAGACGTCCCTGCGCAGGTCCTGACGTCCCTGTCCTACAGTCCTGACGTCCCTGTCCTACAGTCCTGACGTCCCTGTCCTACAGTCCTGACGTCCCTGTCCTACAGTCCTGACGTCCCTGTCCTACAGTCCTGACGTCCCTGTCCTACAGTCCTGACGTCCCTGTCCTACAGTCCTGACGTCCCTGTCCTACAGTCCTGACGTCCCTGTCCTACAGTCCTGACGTCCCTGTCCTACAGTCCTGACGTCCCTGTCCTACAGTCCTGACGTCCCTGTCCTACAGTCCTGACGTCCCTGTCCTATAATCCTGATGTCCCTGCGCAGGTCCTACGGGCTGACTGCCGCGTTGTATCACACACCGGCTCAGCCTACAAAGCTTGTTTCTTGCACACATTAAGCGAGATACAGTTATTTCTTAGACTTTGGCGATGCTCTGCTATCATGCTGCCTTCACAGAACTGCGCACAGTCCCAGGCTGGAAGCACAGACTGGAAGGTCTGCAGAGCCTGGGCTTGCTGTGGCGAATCTCCTGGCGTCCTTCCTACCCAGGAAGCCCACTGATAGAAATGCTGCCCCTGTGTCCTCACCCTGCTTCCCCGTGCTCCCTGGCATGGGAGTGTCCAGGTAACTTCAGCCCCTCCCCATGTACAAGTAGTTCAGTGCTTGGCGTGAGGCCAGTGCTCAACAAGTGCTTAGACCACGCACGCCCAACTTGCGAACAAGCTTCTGAGGCACTCTCGGAGGCCTGGCTTCTGAGGCACTCTCGGAGGCCTGGCTTCTGAGGCACTCTCGGAGGCCTGGCTTCTGAAATGGACAGCTTGAGAGACAATTCTTATATAAAAGTATAGAAATATAAAAAATTTAAAATACAGCTTAATTTGGTAATTATTCATGTTACAAATGAAACCCTATAGAATTCCACACCAGAAACTCCTACACTTCACACTATAACTCATATACATGTATATGAGTTATATATGTAAAATATATAACTCAACCACCAAGAAATATTTTATAAACTTTCCTCGGTAAAACTATATAAATTATTTTTAAAAAACACACAAGACAAAGCACAAAGGAATGCAGAAATAAAAGTTAATAACAACATGGAAACAGAAGAGGCTCTTCCAAGCACTGATTAACGAGCCTAAGTAACAGCCAACTGGAAGTGACAGAGTTACGTCTCATCTCTTCAAAGCCACTAACCATAGGACCATTTCTTTAAAAATAGCAATGACTAGTTCATCAAAACTCACAAAGGATGTGGCAAACTAAGGGCCACCCGTGTGAGTGTGACAAAAAGTATAAATGAACAAAAAGTCATGGGAAAGAACTCACAAAACTGAAACTGAACAACAGATGCCCGAGAACTGACCAGCTCTCTGCCATGAGCACGATGACTCCCTCAAAGGAGCACCCACCTCGATGATCTCCGTCTGCGCGTGCTTCGTCCAGAATGCCTGTGGGGGCGTGGTGACGCTCACAGCCACAAAACTATTTGGTTTTCGATCTAGCGATGGAGTGTGCAGCTCACTGCAAGCTACAGAGTCAAGATGGGGGAGAAGAATCCTTTAGACCAAGTTTTAGTTAGTCCATTGCTCCAACAAACCCAAAGAAAGCTTAAAGAAATACTCTCAGGGACGCCACGGTCACATTGCCATCGAGAGAGGGAATTTCAAAACCAGTTTTCTCATTCTTTTTCTCTTCATCCTCACAATATAGTAAGGCATTAGTGGAATGGAGACTGTGCTGAGGGTGACCTTTCAGGGTCACAGAGAATGGAACTCAGAGCGGCAACCGTGCTCCTGGGGAACAGGTGCTCCTGGGCAACAGGTGCCTGAATGTCATGACTGCTATGGCTAAGTGTGATAACTCATGAATCCTGGCATACATATGGATGCTACACTAAAATTAAAATTCTATGACAAAATAAAGCTCTTCCTACAAGGAAAAGTCAATGCTTACTTATAACCCACATCAAATGTAAGATTGCTTAAATGTTTCTTTTAAGAAGGAAACAGAACTTGGACCATTTCAGTTAGATAAGTCTGTCATACTATAACCTCAAAATATATCCTAAGTCTGAAGCAAATCTATCATAAAAATGACCCAGGGAAGAATTATCACACATGTACTGACTCCCATATGCTCCCTGATATAAAAATACACCCATGAAAGGGAGAGAAAAAGCCCAGCCATTGAACTTTAATATGCCATCAACAATAATCCAGCATTTCCTTGCTTGAAAGATATTTAAGGGGCTAAAGAGATGGCTTGGCCGCTCTTCCAGAGGACCCAGGTCCCACTCTCACCATCCATAGAGCAGTTAACAAATGACTGGAAATCAATTTCCAGGGAACGCCATGGCCTCTCTTATGGGGACCAAGTAGTACATGTATGTGTGTGCATACACACACACACACACACACACACACACACACACACACACACACACTTATAGATATCCACAAAGTATCTCTTAAAAATAAGAAGGACATTAAAACTTACTAAGTCGGTTTTTCAAGACAATAAAAGTCCTGGGGCTGTACAGCTGTGCAAACGCATCTATTGCCACCATGCACACTTACAACATGCTATATCTGTATTTTCATCACTACTAAACACAGACTATCAACTCTGACTCAAAACTACATCCTCCCGGCCACAACTGGTAAGACACACGCCAAGAACAAGATGGCAGGATGCAGTAAGAATGGGAAGGAGAAATGGAGATAAATCCTGGATTTGTGGATTAGAGAAGACAGGGCCTTGCTGTGTTCTGAGTTAATTCTTTAGGGTCACTGTCCCTGGAGTACCTCCCCCACTCTCAGACACGTGAACATGGATGCTAGTTGGTGACTTTCTGGGGAAGTTTGGCCTTCCTGGAGGAAGTACATCAGTGTGGGTGGAGTTTGAGTTCAAGGCCTCTTCCTGCTGGTAGTTGCTCTCCCTGCTTTGTGCTTGAAGCTCAGTGTGAGCCCTCAGCTTCCGCTCGAGCAGAACATGGCTGCTGCTGGCTGCCATGTCTTCCCCTCCCCCATCATGGACGTTCTTTCTGGAACCCAAGTAACTCCTCTTTCTGTAAGTTGCCTTGGTCATAGTGTTTGTCACAGCAACAGAAAAATAACTGATATATTGCACAAAGCCAAATCACTTTTTTTTTTTTTTTTTGGCTCTAATTATACAGTACCTGCTATTAAGTTTACTATATCAGCTACCTTTCCCTCTCATACACATTCGGGTGCCATTTCATAGTCATTACTCACTTAGCTACAGGAATGTCTTCCTGGGTTTGGATATTCAACCCTTTCCACTGTGTACTTTTATCTGGAATCACCTGCCTGTCTGCTCCTGAGTAGCAAGCATCCATAGCATTGTAGAGACTGCAAGACTAGGAGCTGACACACCCTTTCAGTTTGTAAGGTCTGAAAATATCTCACTGTACCATAATGACTGAAGGGTATTTTCTTAGGTTGTTTTCCCTAAGACCTTTAAATGCATTATCTCAGAGTTTTTATTTTTTCCTGTTATAAAACCACAGGTCAGTCTAATTACTGCTATGGTGTGGGTGTGTGTGTGTGTGTGTGTGTGTGTGTGTGTGTGTGTGTGTGTGTGTGTGTGTGTGTGTGGTGCGGTGCGTTTTGGCAGCTCTTAAAATTTCCCTGAGTTTGGCTTCCAATAGTTCAACTATGAGGCACCTAGAAATCTTCTTTCTTACTTTATTAACTTGAGAGAAATGCTCAACTATAAATATTAAACTCTTGTTTTATTTTTCTTGAATACAAATAGATTAAATACTCTCATAGTTTTTGAGGGAATTGTTAGCTTGTTTTTGAGGCAGGATCTTACTATGTAGCCCTAGATGGCCAGAGCTGACTATAGAGACTAAGGAGGCCTCAAACTCACAGACTGGCGTGCCTCTGCTTCCAAATGCTAGGATTAAAAGTGTGTTCACCATGCCCAGTCCATATTGATGGGCATTCTCAGGAAAAATGCTTTTCCTACTGAGTAAACTCTGGCTTAAGCCAAATAAAGCCAAGCCTTACAAGGGTTTGTTGTTGTTTTCTTTTCCTTCAGAAAATGGTCAAATAATGACAGTTATCTTAAGAATGGGGCTATGTAAGGTCTCTGGTTTTGCTGAGTATGTAATCCTAGGTGGCCTGCCTTTTTAAGAATTTTCAGTGTCACTGTTCATCCGGAAGCATGTGTGGCTTTTCTCTTTCCCTGGGGGCCTGACTGACGCACTGGTCTTCAGCCAGGCCTTCTGCTGGGGAAGCCTGCTGCTACTTTGGGCCTGTTGTTCTTCTTTCTGACTCTGCTCTCTGCACCACCAAAGGTTACAATGCCAGATTACATCTTATCTCTCACTCACAAATCTATAGTCTTGATCCTTTTTGAGCTGGGGTTGTCTCTTTGTTACTTATGAACCCAGTCCTCAGAGTTCCTTTGGCTTTTCAGTGTATTTATGAAGATAATTTATCACCCCAGAGTGCCCAGAGTTGTATAACAATTACAACTGTGTACTTCCTTACTACAGCCACATTTCAAAAGAAAATAATCTATACCCACAGCAACCCCTCATCACCCTTCTCCAACCTCCAGAAACCACTAATGTCTTTGTGCATAGATCCTCTGGACATCAGTATATAGTAGGAGCATGCGGTGTGTGCCCTTTTGGGGCCGTCGTCTTCCACTTGGCAGCTTCTCCAGCCCCACAAATGCTATAGCACGAATCAGTACTTTGCTCCTTTCCATTAATGAGTAACTCCTGAATGAACACACCACACACTATTCAACTGGTAGATAGCCTGATTGTTTGCACCTCTTGGTTACTACAAATAATGTAAACACTATGAAGTGGTTCTCTGAGCATGTGTCTTCATCCTTTGTGAATGTCTTTGCTGAATATAAAACTATAGTTTGGCTGCTTTTTAAGACTTGCAGTGCTCTGCTTCTGAACGCCACTCTTCTTTTCTCTCCCTCCTCCCACCCCTCCTCCCCTGCACTCACAGCTGGTTACTGGCTTTTAAATCTGTCCTTGCTTTTCAACAGCTTAGTTAGGATCAACCCAGGTGTAGATCTCTTTGGGGTTTATCTCAGTTCCGATTGAAAGGGATATGTAGCAAGTTTTATCATGAGGAAATTTCAGAACACAGGAAATAAAATGAAGATCTTAACATCTCCAAGCTGGGGCTGGAGAGATGGCTCAGCAGTTAAGAGAGCTTGCTGCTCTGAGGCTCAAACATGACTACTGGGATTCAGACCCTGGCACCCATGTCTGCCTGCTCTCAAATGCCAGCAACTCCAGCTCCAAGGGATCGGGCACACATGCACCCATATTCCTCCTCTCTTCTTTTCCTCTACCTTCCTCTCCTCCCCTCCCCCCCTCTCTCTCCCTCTCTCTCTCTCTCTCACACACACACACACATCACTACTACTTTCAATTTAAAAAAAAAAAAAAAGCTTCCAGAAGAATGAGAAAGCACTTTTAATTATATTTTCAACCTAGAACTCAGTTTAACCTAAAGGCAGCCCATTCCAGCTCTGCAGAGTCTCAAACAGCTTTCCAAATAGCTTTTCTTCCTCCATATCCATATTCTGGATGGAGTGTGCTTGACCCAAATTGAGTAACTTGAGGGGGGAGCAGGGTGAAGATGACATTGTTCCCAAGACATGGTTCCCACTGGGTAGAAGGTAAAGAACTCCCATGTGGCTTCTGATAAAGTGTTTGCTTAAATGTACGTAGGTAGAAGGCGACTTTAACCAAAAAACTGCAACTAACGAGACTGCACGTAGAAAGAAGGTGAAGAGACATCTGAGACATTTCTAAAGCCAGCAATCAGAAGCAGCTTATGTAGTGAGGATGGACAGCCTAGGAAGGTGAGGAGGGGTCCAGGGAGGTGAGCTCACCCCCACACCCATTCTCATTGCGTCTCAGGAGAGCATAAGCAAGATGACCACATAGGCAAATATTCTGAATTATAAAAGAAAAAAATTCAAAGAAGCTGGAAATTAAAAAAAAAAAAAATAGATATGGGCCCTGCCTCCTCATTTCAGATGCTACAGAGTACACTTTAGGGCTATGATGATTATTTTAACTAGTCTTCCATTGGCTAGTCTTTGGCCACCTGAAATCACAGTGAAAACCAACAGCCTAGAAATCACCAGAATGGACAGGATATGACTAGAGACCGTATACAGCCCATTTTTAAGGTAACTATCATTATTTGAACATTTCTGGGGAAAAAAAAAAAACCTCATAGGGCTTGACTTTATTTGGCCTAAGCCAGAGTTTACATTGTAGAAAGTTCATTGTTGTTGTTTTTCTGAGAATGTGTCCATCAGAAGCAATCAGGATGAAGCTGGAACTGGGCCGGGCCGGGCTGGGCTGGTAGCTCAGTGGTGTCACACCTGCTAACACCTAGGAGCCTCCATTCCATCCTGACCATGACTACCGCAGCAGCAACCAAAACCAATAGCTGTTTCTTTGAATACTGCAGCTGAAGAGGGTAATACTAACGTGTGAGCCAAGCAAGAAGTTCATCAGGAATGTTAAATAGGTAATGAAAATGTAAAATAAAACCTAGGGGGTGACTAACAGGACCAGGACCTTTGCACAGCTCTGACATTCACGGAAGCCAGCACACGGAGAGGGTTACGCACATGTCTGAGGACATCTGAATGTTCAGAAAAGAATGGAGGAGACTATGATCACTTACACTAACTTTCCCTGGTGTGCAGCCTAAGCAGGAAGTGAGTCTGAAGATGTGGGCCAGTATGCACACAGACACATAGCAAAACTCACACCAAAGTCTATAGTTCTGAGCTTTTAAGAATATTCTATCCAGCCAGGCGTGAATCTCTGTGAGTTCCAAGCTATATGCGGCTACACAAGGACACTCACACACACACACACACACTCTCACACACACACACACACACATACACACACACACAACTTGACCACTAAGTGACCCAGCAGTCACACCAGGATCCGCACAGAGCAAGAGGCTATTACTGGGCAGTCAGCAACTGCAGTAACAAGAGTAACAACAACAAAAACCCTGGGGAAGGGGAGGGAATTTCATTTCCAAACACGCCGCATCACGTCGTTTATAATGTCCAATTTTTAACCAAAACTTGTGAAACATAAAAATAAAACCCACAAGAGAAATACTGCTCATATCTGGACGAATTTAAAAGCTAAAAAGCAGTCAACAGTACCTGTCTCTGAGTGGGACACACATGTTTGTTTGACTTACTAAGAAACCATATAATGTAGACAACCAGTTAAAGAACTGAGGTTATAAAACTAGCCACGTAGAGAATATTCAAAGTACAATAACAGAAACGAAAATCATTAAAAGCAGCCCAACTGTGGGCTGTTGGGGAATATCACTTTACGGTGTGTTACTTTTGTTTACGTTGCATTTGTTTAACTCTGCGTAGCTGTTACTGTGCTGCTGGAGACACCTGATGGTCTAATAAGGCGCTGAAAGACCGCCAGCGAGGCAGGGGAGAGGAACGGGGGGGGGGGGGGGGGGGGGGGGCAGAGAGGACAAAGGTGAGGGGGATCTGGGAGAAAAGGTCAGAGGATCGGGAGGAGGAGCCAGCAAGCCAGCCACCCAGCTACACGGCCAGCAAGCCAGCCACCCAGCTACACGGCCAGCAAGCCAGCCACCCAGCTACACGGCCAGCAAGCCAGCCACCCAGCTACACGGCCAGCAAGCCAGCCACCCAGCTACACGGCCAGCAAGCCAGCCACCCAGCTACACGGCCAGCAAGCCAGCCACCCAGCTACACGGCCAGCAAGCCAGCCACCCAGCTACACGGCCAGCAAGCCAGCCACCCAGCTACACGGCCAGCAAGCCAGCCACCCAGCTACACGGCCAGCAAGCCAGCCACCCAGCTACACGGCCAGCAAGCCAGCCACCCAGCTACACGGCCAGATGCGGAGTAAGAAGAGAAAGGTACACAGGAACAGAGAAAGATAAAAGCCCTGAAGCCAAAGACAGATGGGATAATACATGTTAAGAGAAGTTGGCAATTCTCAGACTGGACATTCATAAATAAAAATACGCTTCCACTGTGATTTATTTGGGAGCTGGGAGGTACATCCCCCCAAAAAAGTCCAAAAAAGACTTAAGAGCCAAAAGAGTAAAACATCACACTACAGTGGACAGAGTCAGCATACTCTGGAGACGTCAACTACGATTATTTAGTCTGAAAAACAGAAATAAAAAGAAGGAGTTTCAGAGAGTCCTGGAAGATCATGTTCACCAACATAGGTCTAACCAGAGTTCCAGAAGGAGATGGAAAGGGAGCGGGGGGGGGGGGGGGGGGGGGGGAGGAGAGGGCGAAAGACCACTTGACATAGTGATGGCCAGACACGTACAGCCCTGATGGAAAACAAGATGCCTTGAGAAGTATGTTTTAGACTAGACCCACATTCAGTTCTAGCGGATGGATCCCTTGCATTATTTCTAAACTTCCTCTTTGCGTTCCTTTTCCCATTTTCTCTTTTAAATGATGGCATGCTGGACTGTCCAGCTTGCTCCTGTTTCCTATGCTGCTTGTTGAGACAGTTTCCTGGGTGTCTTCCAGGCCTCACTGGATTTGTAAGTTTCATCTGTTATGTTTTAAACCTCAAGTCTGTCCTTTGTTCTTCAGCTGCCGTTTATAAACAGTACCCTGTGACTGAACACAGAGGCACTTCCTCCTTTCTTAAGGTGTAAGTTACACTTTCTTTACTGTTTTCTTCCACTCCCGCGATGCCTCTTTCATCCAAGTTCTGGTTCTGGTCTGCTGTAGGCCTGCCACACGGTGCTGCTGGCCTTCGCTTTTCTTTTGCTTTCCTCTGAATCCCTTTTGAGGTACAAGTTTCTTACAGCGCACACCTATTTTATCCATGCAGCCACTCCGGCTGCTGAGAGCCCTTCCACCCCGCCATCCCCATAGGTAAGGGGACCCCGAGCCCAAGCTCTTGCAGCTTCTCCCATCCTTGGGCCTTACCCTCATCCTCACTCTGCCAGGGCTACGCTCAACTCAGGTGACACTTCCCCTATAGAAAGTGGCCATCCACTGCGTGCAGTTACTGTACGGGAGCTCACTTAGCCTGCTCTGTGCGCAAACTCAGAACCACACAGCCTTCCAAATACCCCCTTCTAAAGCAGCAACGTCTACCCCCACAAAAAGACTGGCGCCCAAGTACTGACTGCAACTTTATTTGTAATAGTCTCCACTGGACACCACTCGAACCTCCATCCACAGGCAGCTTAAACACAGCAGCAGTCAGATATGAGAAACAGCCTCTGAGATGCTGCATCACCCCAGAAACATCTCAGCAGTGGTGACGGCACTCAGAACTAACTACTCGGTGGCTCTTAGAGACAGACTAACAGGAACAGCAGACGAGAGAGGCACCTACCTAAGCTGAATTCTAAAATGGGCTCGTCCGGGTCTTGGATATTTCCTGGTAGAAGAGAAACAAAAGAAAAGTCACCCAAAATAAACCTTCCCCAGAATTTAGCTTGCATTTGTTTTGCGCAAAAAAAAAAAAAAAAAAAACAGAAACAAGAAACAGTAATTCCTCTAGCCCACCCCAAAATATTACAGTAGATTTCAATACTTTGAACCAGTGTACTTGAGAGATTTTGGAGAACTCTCAGGCCGCTTTTCATTGTGCTGACTGGGAGGCAAGCCCAGGGTGCTCACCCAGGCTGGAAAAGAAATGATGAGTCTCACAAGACCAGTCCCTGGGGCTATTGCTGCCCCTTCTGAGTCCTACTCCAACCAGAAGGATCCCACGCCAGGACACCCTCTCCCAGTGGTTAGCCGCCGGCTGCCCCTGGCCCTTCACGTGGCTACAGCATGGAGCCTGAGTCCTACAAGTTCATAACCAGATGTCTAGGTCTGTGAGGCTCACCTGCAAGAGAGAGGCCCACCATGTCAGCTGCCACGTCGATGGTGGAAGCCCGCTGCATCGCACGGGCCCTGGCACCATGGCGAGGGCTGTGCTCTCTTGCTGTCATGATGTCATTGGTGAGGATATGCTTCTTGTTCCTGGGCCACACCTCACCTGACTTCCCACAGAAGAGCTAGCTACCTCCAGGCCCTGGGTTCCTAAGATGGCAGTAGCCCTGAGACACAGGAGCAAACACAGGTAAGAGTCAGGAGCATGATGATGGAGAAACTGTGCTCCTACGGCAAGAGAACAGGACCCAACCCTGCAAGATGCTAACGCCAAGTGCCTTGCGACAGGTGTGGAACTGGGCTGCCCCTCACCTTGTGCCCTCTTCTTCCTCCCTCTCCTCTGTATGGTGTGCCTGCAGCGTCCTCTTTGACAGATTACATGATGGCCTAACTGGAACCATAAAATAAGGCTCTACGGTTGGTTTTCTTGTTACTCTCCTACTGGCGAGTCTCACAGAATCTCTACAATCTTCTGAGTTCCCACAGCACAACTTCTGCTAGGACAAAGACTACGTGAAGTACTCTGCTGCCCCGAGGCACCGTCCGCCTCCCATGCACAGCAATGGGAGACAAAGCTCGAGGCTTCCGTCTAACTTCCCCTTCCCGCAGCTACCCGGGTTCTGGTGTGTCTTGGCCTCAAAACTGTCCCACGGTACCAAGTGACAACCCACCTTTAACCAAAGGGGAAGGGGCTGGGGACGGAGGAGGCTGTGACAGAATGTCACTGCAGCTGAGTCGGAATGAGGCGACCCTGGGTCAGCACACAGCTCCCACTATGCTCTCAGAAGTAGGTTACACAGCCAGTAGGGAACTTCAGGTTTGTCCAACACCCTGTACTCCAACCCCTGCTGGTTCTAGAAGGATCTGGCCTTCACAAGTCAGGATAACTCGAAGAGCCATTGGCCTTGTGAAGAGCAGCCTCTCAGGTGTTCATATGCCCCACACAGTCTTCTGTCTATTCTGTGAGCATCCATACACCCAAAGACCCAGGCTCCAGTCACCAGCAAGTGGCTTACCAGACATGCTTGCTTCTGGACCGTGTGACATTGCTTCACAGGAGGACATCCAAGTCCATTACCTAGAAACAGAAAAGTATAACTTGATGAGTATATCCAAGAGTAAGTCCCTGAGAGAATGACACCCAGAAAGGTTAAGGAAGGCAACAGACACTGACCTAACTTTTCACTCAATGAGAAGGAACAATGCTCGCTTCCTTCTACTCCAAGGGTTAGCCGTCAGGGGCGTGTGGGCCTGCCCTGAAGATCCAGGAGGGAAGTGTGCTTTAGAGAAATGAACAAAGTTGGGACCTGGCTTGCCCACTCACAGGAGGAGCTGAGGTGCAGCTCTGAGCGCTGAGCTCTGCCCCTGGTGTCCCGCAGAGCTACAGTGAGAGCCACATGCACATCAGAAGGAGAGGGCTCGTGTACCCCACTGTCTCCATGCTCACGGACCCCACTGCATGGTGAGCGGGTACCTTCCTGCAGAATGGAACACTCAGGCCAGGGCCCAGCTGATAGTCTTCTAAGAGAGAAGCAGAGGACAGCAGGACCGTGGACTGACTCATGTTCTTTTGCAGGCTGGGCTCTGAACTTGCCCACTGGAATACCCAAAGATCTCTGGCCTATGAGCCTCAGCCAACAGGACTATGAACCAGCTGGAGAGCCACTCTAGAAACTGCTAAAAGGGAGAAGTTACTCACTGGTCTGCAGTCACCAAAAGACAAACAAATCGAAACATTTGCAAGGCAAATACTGAAACTTAGAAAGCACCAAGACTACCCTCAATGGCTGGTCCTAACTTGTCACTAACCTGTCACTAGCGGGACTGGCCCGGGGAGAGCGTCTCAGTTGAGGACTTATCTACACCAGGTTGGCCTGTGAACAACTTTGTGGGCAATTGTCCTGATGGCTAACTGACCCAGTGTACGGCGGGCAATGCCGTCTCTCCCACCTCCCACTGGCTGGGCCCTGAGCTGTAAAAGACTGAAGAAAGCAATCACGGGTGTATCTGCCTCTCTGCTCTTGCCCGCTGATGTGATTTAGTCAGCAGCTTTGACCATCTGCACCCGCCCTATAATGTGATGACCTTTGAACTATAAACCAAATAAGCCTTTCTTCTCTAAGTTGCTTTTTTGTCAATGTGTGTGTCACAGAACCAAATGTAACTAGGAAAACTACTAAACTTCTACAATGATGCTGGTAAGGAATGAACAAAACTCACTGGAGATACAGGCATCAAGGGGAGGAATTCATGACGGAGGAGTTACGTATGGTAAATATTTTTGAAAAACTGTCAAATTCCAGCAAAGTAACACTAAGCTCCCCTACCCCACCTCAATTACTTCTCCAAGGGCTGCTCGTCTGTTCTCCCTAAATACATACTTCCGGTAAGCCCGGGGCCCTTCTATACTGGATAACATTTTAGAGAGGTACTATAACTCCACAATTTATTCAGTTTTGTAGACAAAAAATTCTTGTCACCATCTCAAACATGGAAAAGACTAATTCACAAAGCCGCTCACTGTAAATAATGAAGACTAGACGTAATCTAGGTGCCCAGCTACAGTACGTTCTGGACATCATGAGGTACTAAAACTATATTAATACATCCAGAAGTCACACACAATAGAAATTGAGGCCATGCGGCCTACAACAATCACTTATATAGCTACAGTGATAGACAGGCAAGGCCAAGAGCTGGCTAGGACGCAGGACAATTGGAAGCAGGTGCTGTGGTGAAGCAGGAACAGTGTACTATTCTAGACCACTACCAACCCCTACCCCAGCTGCACATGCGACTAACTGGTGATCCACCCACAACTGCAGGTACAATTTAGGATGTGACTGCTAACAGAAATGCACATATGCATGTTTATGTCTGTACATGTACACACGTACGTACATACACACACGCGTGCGCACGCACACGCGCACACACACGGAGAATGTTTAGAGCAGTGACAGTCATTAACAGTAAGATCTTAGAGACAATAGAAATGTACCGAGCACAACAGATGAATCGCAGGGAAAGCCAAGCAGACAGAGCCAACAGGGCAGGCCACGGGTGTGAGGGGCAGGCCACGGGTGTGAGGGGCAGGCCACGGGTGTGAGGGGCAGGCCACGGGTGTGAGGGGCAGGCCACGGGTGTGAGGGGCAGGCCACGGGTGTGAGGGGCAGGCCACGGGTGTGAGGGGCAGGCCACGGGTGTGAGGGGCAGGCCACGGGTGTGAGGGGCAGGCCACGGGTGTGAGGGGCAGGCCACGGGTGTGAGGGGCAGGCCACGGGTGTGAGGGGCAGGCCACGGGTGTGAGGGGCAGGCCACGGGTGTGAGGGGCAGGCCACGGGTGTGAGGTGCAGGCAGAGCCAGGGTCCATGTTGTAAAGTCAAAGGGAGGATATCAAAGATGTGAGTGACTCTGGGCTGAGAATGTTCTGGAATGTTCTGCTTCTTCTCTAGGGTGCAGGTTTGGAGTGGACCTATGAGTGACAACCCACTGAGCAGTACGTGAGTAGGTTTTGTGCCTCAGTAAAAAGTATGCCATCATCTTTTGATGATGGTAATGGACAGCAGAGCAAATCCTATTAATTTTGCACCACCCACCCTCTAGTTACAACAGCTTAGAGAGACAGGACACAGGGCCTGTGACGGCTGTAACAAGGTGGCCACCAGGTAAGAGTAGTCATGGGAAACTTTTTCTATGCTCCAACAGCCGTCTCCGCGTGTTTAAAAGGCTGCATTAAATACTGGCTACGACTTCATACATGGGGTGAGGGGCTGTCTCGATGGTTGCTTTGGCGTGGCCACAGTACCACACACCCTGCCTTGCTGTCTTCCCTCTGCACACCAGTGAAGGTGCCGATGAGCCCTTCCCTCGGACAGCAGGGCTGTGCCACCTACCCGCAGCCCTCCCTAAGTCTTCACATCTTGCTCCCGGGAGGCTGACAATCCCCCCTCATCTGGGCCCACTCCACTTGTCCACCTGTCCTTTAGGAGGGTGGCGTGTGTTACACTCATTGTAAGTTCTCTAAAGATCAAAATTCTCAGAAAGGAACATTTATATGCTAATTTTAAACTAGTTCATAGGTCAGAGGAGCTTTTAGATCGAAAGATTTTTAGCAGCTACTTCTCATTCTATGTAGAGGCATTTAATTATAATTTACAATTTAAATCATTAAGGTCCAGAACGCAAAGGCAATTTGTACAGCTGAACTTGATTTCCCTTCTTGGTCTCATTAATTTAAGATAATTCACCAAGGATTCCTAATTTCCCAGTGTCCCCAATTTTGCTCCTTGTTCTATTTGAGGGCTGGAGTTCATTAGGAAAAGGGAAAACTACATTTAAATCAAGGAGGACTAAGCATGTGGGAGGGACTTACGGAGCAGGAAGGAACAGCTCCTGAGGCTGCTTCCTTCCCGCACTCCTAGATGAAGGGACCCCTCTGACAAGAGAACAAAGGTTGTCACCAACGTCCTGACCCCCAGGAGAAGCAGGGACAGTGGCAGCAGAGGGTGGTCAGGGGAAGCAATGGGATCTTTGGGGGCATGAATGGACTCTGAGAGATGGCAAGGCACCCCAGAAGCTGCTAGAACGTCTTCCCTTCTCCTTGCAGGGACCACGAAGCCTTGGGGCCCTTGTGTCTTAGTGGCCTCTCAGCGGCTGCGGCTGCGGCTGAAGAGGGAGGTGGCATTAGGACTGCTCTGGCCCATCTTAAGACGAGCATTTCTCTAAACACAGGCTCATAAAAAAAGGGGACAGAGAGTACTCCAGATGGGGTGAACCTCGAAACGCATGCAAGTGAAAGACATCTGCAGAACAGAGCAAAACAAGAAACAAACAAAAAAGCCCAAATTTAAGTGGGGCTCTTCTGCCCAGTCCAGCCCTATTGCTGCACCCGCTCTGCAAATGGGCTCTGGGCCTTCCCCACGCCACTCTCTCCATACACAAGCAGTGGGAGGGGAAACATGAAACACGCGAGTCAGAGTGAGCCAGCACTTCCCGAGGGAGAGCCTACTTTAGAAGACGGAAAACAAGGGATTTTCTCTTAAAACCCCAAATCCAAGATAACCAAAATCACATATCACTACGGCCTCACCATCCACTGGCACCAAAAATTACTATGCATAGGACCCAAAGGAGACAAGTGTCCTGAAGCCTTGGTCAAGGTGACTCTCGAATGAAATTATTTCTTCCTGTCAATTCTCAGCTTCCGAATACTACCTTTCAAGGGGCAGCAGTCTGGATAACAGTCCAGCACCAGACAGCTGCAGGGTGTCAGGAAAACTCTTTCCTTGGGAAAGACCAACAACATCGACCCCCTTTCTTATAAGGAAGGTCCCAACCGAACTGTGAGCCTGCTAAAGTTCACCCTTTGGGACCAGTTGAGTTTACTGGGCTTACACACGCAGCATGGGCAACAGGCTATTGATAAGAGCTCAGGTAACCCAAAGCAGCTGCGCTGGAGAGTCTCAACCCAGCATGGAAGATGGCTTCACCATAGCGTCACAGACAGAGGGAACCACTTAACACCTCCTCTAGCCTATATACTCTAGAACCTCCAGCCCCACCCTCCCCACTCCTCTATGCAATTAGGGCAGACGTGAATTCAGACGCTTAGAAGAAGGATCTCAGCTGAGGGTCCAATGACCCTCACCAGCTCCTCCTCTGCAGCACTGTAACGACGGACTCACAGAACTACTGCTCTCATGAAAATGGCTCCGTTTTATTTAGAGGACCAATCTCTCTATACAAGGTACAAAGCTCTGACTTAGTGCAGCCATGCTACCAAACAGTTCAGCATGGCTAGCGCTGAGAAAGCAGAAAAATAAAGTGCTTTAGAAAATCAAGCATAGCCAAGAACCAAGCACTAGCATGGGCATCCCGTCTCACCCAAAGACACCCACACACTCTTGTTATTTACCTCCTGCTTCCCATTTCCTATTTCTGCTAATGACAATAAATAGCGATGGTAATGGCTTAATACCATTTAAGTAACATGCCTCATAAGTGTAATGAATAAGTTAACTGATAAAATGTCTGAACCCAGATACACATGCATACC